AGCTTTTCAGAATAATGAAAAAGACGTTGGCTATCGTAACAGACCAATAAAGAGGGTGTGCTGTGAGTTGGGGAAGCTGGTCTGGCGCCAGGAGGATATTGCTAATGAAAGAAAGACCTGCAGCAGAGCATCTGAAATGTGGTGATCTTCTGAGGTCTTAAAGTTAGCTTCTTAGCGTTACCAAAAAACGAAGATTTCCAGGTAGAGACTAAGCTTCCCAGCGAGTGTCAAAAGAGGCATGCTTTAGAAGAAATTTGAGTGGATATTATATTGCTCTCTCTCAATCCCAGCTTTCAGTAATGCCAGCCAGTTTTTGCCAGATCACAAGCACTGATGGGTGTGAATTCAAGTCCCTGATGAGTAGGTCAGCTGTATGTGTCTTTCCATAGAATGCAGAAGCAAACATCTCTGCAAGAGAAAGAACTGAGTCACAAAAGCCAGCTGTTAAAAATTACTGGTGTAGACATGGAGTCTCTTAAAGACTTCAGCTCTAAGCTGGTACTGTTTACTGTTTGTCTCTCAGAGAATACACAAGGAACTCACATGGAAATGATATTATTCTTGGAGTAGAATCTGTATTTACTGACTTAAAGAAAAATGAAAATATATTTCTTATTTTTAAATATTTTATTTATTTGACAGAGAAAGAAAGAGAGAGAGAGAGAGAGAGAGAGAGAGAACAAACAGGGGGAGCAGAAGAGGGACAGGGAGAACTAGACTGCCCGCTGAGCAGGGAGCCTGACATGGGGCTCGATCCCAGGACTTTGGGATCATGATCTGAGCTGAAGGCAGATACTTCACTGACTGAGCCACCTAGGTGCCCTGAAAATATATTTAAAAACAAGAATACACAAACTAGTTTTTAACATAAGATAAACTCACAGTTCTTCAGGAAGTTTTAAGAGCTTAAATGAATAGAAAGATACAAGTCCTGACATTTGGCCTGCCTGAGTAATTTATTCTGATTTGTGATGACATCATATATGTGTTTGCATGCTCCTTTGAGTGAGTTTTTTTAAAAATATTTATTTATTCATGATAAACAGAGAGAGAGAGGCAGAGACACAGGCAGAGGGAGAAGCAGGCTCCATGCCCACCGTGGGATTGGATCCCGGGACTCCAGGATCCCACCCTGGGCCAAAGGCAGGCACTAAACCGCCGAGCCACCCAGGGATCCCCGGATTTTTACTTTCTACTAACAGTTGAGGTTTTTAAAAGATTCGCTGACATTTATCACTGCAGACATCCTGACGGAAGATTGGTCTTTCAGAAATATGAGTAACACCACCAAAAACAATGGCAGGTGACTTGAAAACCAGATGCTTAAATCCTCTGGTCTCTGAGAAAAGGAAGGAGAATGGAGCTTTAAAAGGGCAAGGAAGCGGGGGGTCACAGAGGGCAGGCTCGAGAGCTGCTCGGGCTAAGTGCCGGATGCCTGGCCAACCCCGTACTCTTGTTTGAGATGACTCAAGAGCCATGGCTTATGATTTTCTATCACCATCACCTTTGGTTGGCCACTATTAATAATTAGAAGCTTTTTTTTTAAGATATTTATTTATTTATTTATTTATTTATTCATTCATTCATTCATTCATGAGAGACACACACAGAGAGAGAGGCAGAGACACAGGCAGAGGGAGAAGCAGGCTCCATGCAGAGAGCCTGACGTGAGACTCGATCCTGGGTCCCCAGGATCACACCATGGGCTGCAGGCGGCACTAAACCACTGCGCCACCAGGCTGCCCTAGAAGCTTATTTTTAATCAACCATGGTGCCCAGCACTGAATCATATTTTAGAAAGCTAAATATTTTTTTAAGAAAAATCTCAGAATGTTGCTTCAGGAGTTATTTACACTAAGACTAATACTGAGGCATAGTTTCATCAGGGAAGACAGCCTGAACTCTAGGAGGACAAAAACAGAGAAAAACAGAAAGTATCATTAAATAGTAATCCCATGATAATGTCCTACAAGTAGAAATGTTCAGTGTGCTCACTTTTAGCTGTGACAGCATGATGGACATCCAGTGCCAGCTTACTACTATGGGACTTTCAGGCTTGTTGTTTTAAGATTTTATTTATTTTGAGAGAGAGAGAGTGTGCACACACACAAAGGGCAGAAGGGGAGGGAGAGAATCTCAAGCAGGGCCTGATGTGGCACTCAATCTCATGACCCTGAGACCAAGACATGAGCTGAAACCAAGACTTGGCCATTCAACTGACTGCACCACCCAGGTGCCTTAGGACTTGCAGATGTTTTAAAGAGGTCAGATGCCCTGCACCTAACAACCGGGAAGTCACTTTGCTTGTTTTATATGCATGGTTGCATTCAAACATCATAAAAGGAGGGCTGATTGTAGAAATTCAGGATATCCTTCTTAGATGTATGGCATGATATTTCATGAAGGTATCTTTCATAGGACAGTGAATTTTACCCTTTTGGTCTGGTCAGCTCTTTATCAATGGTACACTTCACTCTTGAGTCCTTTTGGGCCAGTTTTTTTGTGTGTGTGCAGACTGAAGGTGTTTTGTACCACTTTGCAGCAATCTTCTCTTTCTACCATTGCCTCTGCTGGGAGCACTTGGGGAAATTTCTTGGTTTCCAGAACATAGTTAGTGTTCTAAGGCAGGACGAGGTGGTTACCTGTAGCTGTTCTGCTGTGGCTGTTCCTTGCTTCAACAACCAATGGGGTTTCCCACAAAAGGCAACATAAGAGTGAGAAAAGAAGAGACCATATGAGATGAGCACTGGGCGTTATATGTTGGCAAATTGAATTTAAATAAAATATTTTTAAAAAGAAGGGACCCCAGGGCAGCATGTATCATGTGCATCACCTCTTCCCAGTTGTGAACTCAGGCTATGAAATTGTCATCATAGGTAGATCTGGAAATGAGCGAGTAGACTGTACATTCTTGATCTTCTGTGAATGTTGCTTCCAGATTCCACCCCGCTGGCAGTTGGGGCCACTCTTCCATTGCTGCTGTGATTCCGGTCACACCAGAGAGCCTACCCATTCCCAGCCAGGAGTTCAGCCAGTGACACGGCACAGAGAAACAGATGAGGCAGAACTTGGGACAGGCCCAGGCAGTACATGCCAGCTGCTCTCAGCAGTGTAGTATGGCCTTGAGACCTAAACCTGCCTCTGCACCTGGTTCAGGGGACAGGCTGGGGAAGGAGCCCACTTTGGCCCTGCCTTGCCCCTTCTTACCCTCACTTCTTTTTTTCCTGTCTCAGCTCTTCTGTGGATTCTGCATGAACAAAAGAGACTCCTCCTGCTTGGACTTCATTTTATCCCCATTAGGTTAGGGGTAGTATCCATCAGTTTTTGCCTTGTGATGGAAATCTATGGGCCAAAAATTCTCGAGAATCACTTCTTTATTTAAAAAAAGCTATTCTGGGGCACCTAGGTGGCTCAGTCATTTAAGCATCTGCCTTTGGCTTGGATTGTGATCTCAGGTCCTGGGATCAAGCCCCATATCAGGCTCCCTGCTCAACAGAGAGTCTGCTTCTCCCTCTGCTCCTTCCCCTGCTTGTGCTCTCTCTCACTTGCTCACTCTCTCAAATAAATAAATTTTAAAATAAAAAAGGCTCTTGTTCATAAAAAGGATCGCCAAACATGAAAACACAGAGCCCTAACATTTTGATATACTTTTGTCATTCCTTGTTTTTCTCGGTGAGTGCTCTTCCCCTAAAACCATTTCCTCTAGCCCTCCACTGTAAATGATTTCCTTTTTTTTTTTTTTTGTTTACTCTAGCATTATTTGTACCTTTTGTGGGGACCTACCCAAGGTAGGGGCTGTCTTGTTGATCTTGTTCATCTTTGCATCTGCTTGAGGCATCAGCAGAGTACTGTGGCCAGCCAGATAGCTGTCGGTCACTAAATGATGTTATTTTGTATTTATTCCCCACTAGATTGTGGTGAGAAGCAAGATAACGCTGTATGTAGCACTGACTTTTTATGGGCTCTGTTGACAAGGAAAAACTTTTTCCCCTCTCCACTCTCCTGGGTTCTCAGCTAAGACCGTATAAATCAGACTGACAAAAGACAGGTTAACAAGAGAAAAACAGAGTTGGTTAACATGAGCATCATGCAGATATGTAGGAGTACCCAATGATTAGTAACTCAAAAGGCTGGTTAGAACTCGGGCTTCTATGGCATCCAAATAAAAGAACAGTAAGCTCAGAGAGAAGTGACAAGGGAAAAGGACATTGAGCTTCTGGGGCAGCAAATTGTAGGAACACAGATCTGTGGGGGAACTAATGGAAGACAGGACTAGTTAGTAAAGTTTGTTACGAAGACTCCCCTGTGCCTTTTGTATGCCCCCCTGGTATACGGTTGTCTCTGGTGGTTTACTTCGGTCCTTCCTGGCAGGAGGGGTGGGGGTGGGGGGGACATCTTTAAAGATGTGTATCCTGCTGCAGGGTGTGTGGGAAGGGGCAGAGAGCTTTTCTTGTATGTGCTTTTCTGTTGTTGCCTTCAGCTCAAAATAATCCTCATGCCCATGTGGCCTCTCTGGGGCTGGAATATTTTGCCATCCTTCAACACCTTGTATGTGATTTGCAAATCCGTGTCTATTGAACTGAATTAAGCTGAAAGCAAAAGCTACCTGCTGTTTTCTAACTGGAGTCTGCTAAATAATTTACCCTGCATAGCGGAATAAATAGATGGAAAGCTTTGTGAGCTTCAGACAGAGCCCAGAGGAAAGATACTGGCTGAGCTGGGAGGTTTGGGCTTTTCAGTTGGCTTTGCTTCTGCTTGGCCTGCGGGGATCACTTCATCTTCCTTTCAGGCAGTTGGGGAGATACAATCAAGTGATGGCTAGAAAAACACTGAGTAAAGTTTAAAGCGTGATACAGATACAAGATGCTATTACTTCCTGTACAAGCTCTAGTAGCAAAAGTTTATGATGAACATCTAGTATAAACATTGGCTCACTAGTCTTAGATACTGTTTACTACCAAATAAGTAAGCCGTAATATTCGTGTAATACTTCCTCACAGGTATGAATTAGGAGCTGCTCTGTTTATTGGATGGGCAGGAGCTTCACTCTGCATAATTGGTGGTGTCATATTCTGCTTTTCAATATCTGACAACAACAAACCCCCCAGGTATGAAAAAGAGACAGACATGACCTGTTAAAATGATTACAGGTAGGGCAAATTATAGATAGCTCACATGATTCTTAGAAATGTCAAAAAACTAGAATTAGTAAAAGGAACATATAGCAAATATGATATTAAATATAATAAATACAGTGAATAGAATGTATAGTTCATAAAAGTTAATTTAAAAAAAAACAGAGCTCGTCCTGCTTACGTTTCTGAGCCATTTCTGTAAGCAGGATAGGTCTTACTGTGGGGCATATTCTTCACCTTGGCATCATCATTTTCACATAGGCAGAAATTACCGATGAAGGTCACTACGGTCCCCTACGATCTGGGAAGAGGAGGTTTAAGAGTAAAACTGAACTAATGAACAGCCACGAGTTTCTTCTGCTGAGATTCACATTGACACACTAACTGTTGAGAAATGACAGTGAGATATTTAGGGGGTGTGGGGGGGTGCGTGATAGAGGAGGAGAGAAAGCTAGCTAAAAGTAATCAGGGAGGGCCTGAAACTTAGCTGGGACAGCAGCAGGGGGAATGGTTTCTGCCTTCCATGTAAAATAGGAGCTACCAAACTGTGTTTTGCCTTGCAGGATGGGATATGCATACAATGGTGCCACATCCGTTCTGTCTTCTCGGACAAAGTATCCTGGTGCAGAAGGAGATTTTAAAACCACAAACCCTTCAAAACAGTTTGATAAAAATGCTTATGTCTGAAAAGAGCACTGCTGCAAGCTGTCTTATAAAAGTGAACTGTTCACACAATGATCCCCTCAAAGCCCTCCTCTAATCCGCACTCAAACTATTTTTAAAATATGAATTTGGAGAATTTTCTGATTGTATGGATGTAAATGTTCTAATCATTTTCTGTTGAGGCTTTCTATAAAAAAATAAACAGGTTATTTACAGGATTTGTATATATTTTATACACTTACAGAACATGTATTTAGCACCGAGGGATCAAGTATTTGTAACATAGCCTCTCCTTAATCGTTCAGACATGGCATTCCTTGTCCTCATTCCTTGTTTCTTTTCCTATATTAAACAGAAGGTGTGTAAGGAGTGTGTCTTGTGAATGGTGGGAGGGCAGTCTGAGACAGTTCTCAAAGGATGTTTGAGTTGAATGGACAGGTTACTGGTTGTGTAGCGATGACTCTTGCTTTTTTTTTTTTTTTTAAGATTTTTATTTATTCATGAGAGACACAGAAAGAGAGAGGCAGAGACACAAGCAGAGGGAGAAGCAGGCTCCATGCAGGGAGCCTGACGTGGGACTCGATCCTAGGTCTCCAGGATCAGGCCCTGGGCTGAAGGTGGCACTAAACCGCTGAGCCACCCAGAGATCCCTGACTCCTGCTTTCTGACACCTGTTTGTCACCCAGTGTGATTCTCAGTGAACCGCTCAAGGAAAGGCTAATGGGGCTGAGACATCAGTGCCCATTGCCTGGCATGTCCACCTTAAAGAGCTGATTAGGCTTCTCTGATACAGAAAGCTGGAATACTGGGCTGGAATGTCAGCATGAGCCCAGCTAGAGATGCTGGTCATGGCTGAAGTTGTAGCCAGCTGAGGAAGGTCCCAGAGCCTGTATGGCACCTGCCTGGCTCAGAACCGATGGGCAAGTTCTGGTGCGTCTCTGGGGGCCCTGTGTGTACAACCAGGCTGGGTAATGGAGAGACTGACCATTTTTCAAGGTACTTTAATTGAACATAGCCATGCAAGACTTAAAAGGGAAAAATATTATTTGGAGATGTTCAATGGGACGAGGAAATGAACAAGTTTGTTACTAAAAAAATTATATATGTGAATATATAATATGTAATATCTATAAAAATATATATAAATATGAAATAGTAAATATAAGAATATAAAAATATATAATACAATATATATAATGTATTATATATATATATCTATCTTCTAGGGACACAAATGAACTAAAAGCCACAAGGAAGTTTAGATGCCCTGTGTGGGGGCAGGATTTTATGAGTATGTGTTTAAAACCAAGTGTTTTCAGAGCTGCACCGGTGAAGGTGATGTTCAGGTTGTACTGACGTGTTCTAGCTCCTGAAGAATTTAGTGGGAGGACAGGGTGAACGGACAGGAAAGCTCTGTCAGGAACCACAAAGATGTTAGCTGTGCATCAGTGAGGGGAAATACAAGGTCCAAACAAAATCGAAACAACCACATCTCCAAGGACAGTGCCGTAGGACTAAAGAAATGAGAGGAGTGACCTTTGTGACACAGATGCCAACTTAATTTCTATACTGGGTCTGCTTAGCAGAAGCTCATCCCATTTCTCTCACCCCTTTCCGTCAAGTGTGAAGACCAGGGGGCAGACATGGAGCTTGGAATGGAGACCTGGATAACACTTGGTCTTGCACTTTCTAGTTGTATGCCCCCTTGGCAAGTTACTTCCTAATTCTACATTTTCCACATCTTCAGGATGAGGATTATGATAATCACCGTGTCCCAAAGTTGTTCTGATGAATGAATGATGCATGCTACAAAAGCAAAACAGACCCAAGTAGCTCAATAAACATCTGTTGGAAAAGTACCTGAGGGAGTGCAGTGTGGCCTGGGTGCCTTCTTAGGCTCAGAGTGGCTTGGGTGTGTTGCTTATCCCTGTCCTACTACATGAAAATTTGATTTGGCGTTTATTCGGGCTCTTATGTAGAACATGAGTACGTTCAGGATGTCATGTGGCACAGCTAACAGGGCAAGCCTAACCCACCAACAAGGTCAGCGTAGCTCAGAACTCATCCTTAATAACTCAGCCTCAGTCACAATGATGTAATGGAGGGCTTTACTTGAAAGAGATCCAGAACCCAACAGACCATTAGTTAAAATGTTGCTTTGGAGGGGGAACAATACAGATAGTACCACGAAGTATAGAAAAATGTGGAAAAGTGGAAAACCAGTTTATATGAACTTTCTGACCACTGACAACTGTTAAGAACAGAACTAATTAGTTTTGAGGTACTTTATAATAATGGGTTGGGCATTCAAAAAAAAAAAAAAACCAACCTACATACACATAGGAATTCAGCAATGTTCTTTCCTATTCATGTTCTGATAAATTAATTGACATTGAAAACAGCTACATTTTATTCGTAAAATATCCAAGGTAAGGATTATACTGCAGAAATGGTAAAGTTCTAAAATAATTGATAACAACATGCTTAACAGCTCAAAGCTGTATGTGGTATACGTATTTCTGGAAAATGTATTTAATGTGGGCCTATTTTTAAATTTAATACGGGCTATATTTTTATAATTCTAAATTTACTTCTATATGAAAAATAACCAAGCTACTGTGAAAATTTCACTGATTCCACTATTTCACTTGTAAGTGTACTAACAGAATTTTGTAATAAAACACTTCCAGTGTGATAATGGACATAAATATATATATATATATAAAAAAAGTTTTAATTCAAACCAAAACCTGTAAGTTTTAAAAAAATTCACTTAAAAACTACTTGAAAAAATACACTTAAACACTAGAGTACCGTTATGAAGAAAACACTTTTTATGACTTCAATGACACATTACTTTTAAGCAGCAGAAGTCTTAAATGACTCTCTATGCTTCAAAATACTGTTGAAAGTTTTTGTTTTTCAGGACTGAATTAGGTGCTGTTCAAGAGACCCTGGTTCTTTGAATCAGCTTCCTTGTTATTGGGGGAAATGCTGTAAGGCAGGAGTGCTCGGATCTTGTGGGCAGATGACGAATCCTGTTGGTGTTGGGACTCTCTGACTCCCAGGCTCTGGTTACACATCTGAAGAGTCACTCCAATCCGTCACAGTTACTAGGCTGCTTTTCAGTGTGCTGGATTCATCTTGAAGACCTGTGGAGGGAGAAAGACATGGAGGAAGGGGAGCTTCAATGATCAGACCGGCCTAGAAGAATCCGTCCTCTGTCGCTCTGTGTCTGGTCTACGGGCTAGTCCACACAACCCAGCTCCCGCAGGCTGTGGAGGAGGCTCCAGTGCAGTCTGACCATGAAACAGTCACACTCCCAGGATACCCTCATGGGACCCTTGTCCAGAGGCTTCCACTCAGCATCTCTCCTTCCCTGGTTCAGCACCTGGATAGGATCCTTAGCTGTGCTAATAGGACGTTTTGTTGTTGTTACTGACTCTGAGTGACAGGTGTAAAGAAAGGAGAATGAAATTATAAGAAGCCCAGTGGAAATGAAATGGTAAATACAGATCTTCCCAGGGTAGATGAGCTTCAGTATGAAGTTCGTTAAGAAGGATCTTGAGTCCCTAAACCGTACCACGTGGAGACTTCTACTTGAATTCTGCCTCTAGACTGGTTTTCTTTGGAGGGGCATGAGTTCAGGGCCAGGGGAGAAGAGGAAGGAAAGGTATTCCGAGCGTCCTCTTGGCCCTGTGTTCCGACGGTCACTGTACTGTGCACAGCCTGGTAGGTTCTGTCAGAAAAACACTTCTGACAGCACAGATAACCTAGTGATGGGCACAGCATGGAAGTAAAGGCACGACTCATGTCCTGCAGGGAAGGAAAGACACAGCAGTGGCTCATCTTACAAAGTGAGGGGGCAAGAGATCCTGCTAAAAATGGAAGAGACAGATGAAGAGGTTTGCACGTATTCATTTAAAGTTACAGATCGGGGGCGCCTGGGTGGCTCAGTGGTTGAGCATCTGCCTTTGGCTCAGGTCGTGATCCCGGGGTTCTGGGATTGAGTCGTACATCGGGCTCCCTGCAGGGAGCCTGCTTCTCTCTCTGCCTCTGTCTCTGCCTCTCTCTTTGTCTCTCAAGAATAAATAAAATCTTAAAAAAATCATATTTCATAATTAAATATATTGAGAGTTCATAATTAAATATATTGAGAGTTAAGTCACTGGACTTAGCCAGACCCTAGGACTCATCCAGGAACGGTATCAACTCTTGGTTTCATTTGTAATTCATCCCACTAGCAACAATGTGGCAAGAGAAATCTTTCTTCCAAGGAAATAAAGGAAAACATTTAATAGTGTAAACAGGTTAATACAGGAAGACTGCCAGAAGAACGGCCTCATTCAGCTGTAGGATCAAAAATTTTAATTTCTGCAAGGCAGCTGCATGAAGAAAATATTTGTATGGACATTTTCAAAACCAATGTGAAAATATAAAGACTAAAGATTAGGTCCAAATTAAATATGTACACAGATTAAAGGACTTTAAAAAGGAATAAATATGCACAAAGCACACAATATAACAAGTATGCCTTGTGCAAACATCAAGATATTTGTTATACCAACAGTGTTTCTGCTTGATGATATTTTAACATAGCTTAATTAGATAGTTATAAAGATGAAACAAATAACTGGAAAATGGACTGAGCTTCAAGACACTAAAGCAGCAAACCTTCTCCCTTTGGCCCCTTCAGATTAGATGCACTCCAGGCATTTGGCACTTGAGTAGAATTTGACTCATTCTTCACAGGTAGAGGTGCCTTCTGTTCTTGCCCAGTTTTTTTCCCCAGAGATTTATCTTCTTCCAAGGATGATATGTCCCAGTCATCATCATCCACATCTGTGCACTGAAAGAAATACATGGAGAATAAGGAGTGCTTTTCTTCTATCTTTTCTTTCTTCTTTCTTTCTTTCTTTCTTCTTTTTTCTTTCTTTCTTTCTTTCTGATTTTATTTATTCATGAGAGACACAGAAAGAGAGGCAGAGACATAGGCAGAGGGAGAAGCAGGCTCCCTGTGGGGACCCTGGGATCATGACCTGAGCCAAAGGCAGATGCTCAACTACTAAGCCACCCAGGTGCCCCTGTAATGAGTGTTTCTTAAAAATGCAGCACATGTTAGTGCCCCTTGGTCATTTTTTGGCTAGACTGAGCTGCTGACACTAATTTGAAGTTGGGGAATCTCAGAGGATCCCTGTCTGGTCATTTCTAGAGAGCAAAGAAACAAATTTGGAAAGCTGTGTGTTTTTTTTTTTTATAAGATTTTATTTACTTATTCATGAGACACACAGAGAGGGAGAGGCAGAGACATAGGTAGAGGGAGAAGCAGGCTCCACACAGGGAGCCTGACGTGGAACTCGATCCTGGGTCTCTACCCAGGCTGTGCGAAAGCTGTGTTTTTAAAGCAGGTGGAACCACCTCTTTTATTAGTTTCTTGCCATGGGGATGTACAGGTTTCCTACCTACTCCACCAGCCATAAATTTAGAAAATCCCAGAAACAGGGTGCTCCCCAAGTAGGAGTGAGGCTGGGTTTGGGGCTCTGACCTATGGGATGATCTGACATTGAACTGCAGGGTGACATCCCACAAGGGCCTATCTGAAAGTAGCACACATTTCTACCTCGCCCTTTCTAAGGAAGACACATTAGCTTTCTCTTGAATGATGATGACTTCCTGTCATTTTTGGCTTGTACAACACTGATGGCACTAACTAATGAAAGCAGGACATAATGCTTTGGACTTACCAATAAACAAAAGAGTTAAATCTTAGGGGCACCGGGGTGGCTCAGTGGTTGAGTGTCTGTCTGTCTTTGGCTCAGGTCGTGGTCCCAGGATCCTGGGATCGAGTCCCACATCAGGATCCCCACAGGGAGCCTGCTTCTCCCTCTGCCTATGTCTCTGCCTCTCTCTCTGTGTGTCTCTTGTGAATAAATAAAATCTTTAAAAAAAGAAAAGTTAAATCTCAGAAACTAGTGACTATGACTCAAAGACCCGGTCAACGCAGATGAGCTGCCCCCAGAAATACAACAGGATCTCTCCCTCCATGGAAACCCTTCTGATATCTTAGGGGTTGGACCTTCTCATAATGTGTCAGGACCTCTCCTCCACTCAGGGAGGAGAGCTCAGGCTCCGCCCTCATGTCTGATGGATTTCTCCACCAACTCTAGCGCCTAAGTGAGGCTAAGCACTGAAAAGTCCTTATTCTACTGCCAGGTCATGTGGTGGACCCGGATCTGAGGCCCCAGGTTCTAGCCAGTCACAGGTTTCTTTGTGCAAGCTACCTAACACTTATACCTGTCAAGCCAGACATGTGACAGGAGTTTGAAAACCTGTAAAACTGGGTAAGCACAGGGTGCCTTCTTGCCCATTATCATTTCAGTATCTTTGATTCCCTATGGCATGGAAAGAAATACAATAACACTGCAAACTAGATACAGTACAAATCTCAACTGCTGCTATACTAAATAATTATATTTGTTTTACATTTCACTACAAGAAGGGCAATTATGGAATATTTGTTAAAAGATGAATTTCTTGGTGCATATTTAGCAAGCAAAAATGATTTCACCTTTAGTTCTTCTTTTAATTCTTTTTTGATGAACGCCTCGGCAACATTAATCCCTCCAACTGGCTTATTTACATTTCTGTGATTTGAGACCGTCTTTTCAACTTTTTCAATTAGTGTTTTAATGGAGGTTCCTATGTGACCAAGAGAAAAGAGGTACAGTTCTAAAAAAAAAAAATCATTATCTTTCTTTGATTCTAAAATAACCTGAAAAAGCCACTTTGAAAGAGTCTGAACTTTGCAAATAATCATATTTATTAAATTAAAATCAACTGATGTATTTTGGTGGTTGAAAAAAGTTACATTAATACATGTAATAATTTCTTTTAGAAAAAAATCATGATCCCCTACACTAGAAGCAATAAAATGTTCATTTTAAATCAAAGAAGGATGGTCTCATTCAAGCTGTGATCAGAAACTTTAATTTCAGTGAGGCAGTCTGTATGAGTGGAATATTCCTGTGGGTATTTTCAAAAGCAATATTTTAAAATTAGTTATATCTTACAGATTAAATAGGTGAATATGAATTGTATATAATAAATTAATTATATCAGATATGTTTAAAATATGTAATTTTCCAACTTTATTAAACAGAATTTTTTTTTTTTTTTTTTTAAGAAATGACCCTTAACTCCAACTTCCCCTTTGGCAAATTATTGACAGTGCATCACTTGGATCTTATGTTCCTTTAGAATTGCCCCATCTCCCAAGGTAGCACAGAGTGTGAGAACAGCCAGCCGTTCCTTGTGTGTGGGTTGAACTGTGTCCCTCCACATTCAAGTGATGATGTCCTCACCCCCAGTATTTCAGAATGTGACCTTATTTGGAGATAAGGCCTTTAAAGAGGGAATCAAATTAAAGTGAGTTCATTGGGGTGGTCCCTAATCCAGTATGACTGATGTCCTTATAAAAATGGGAAATTTGGACACAGATGCACGAACAGGGGGAGGGGGATGTAATGAGACATAGGGAGCAGATGGTCATCTCCAAGCCAAGGACAGAGGCTTAGACTAGATCTTTCCCTCCTAACCCTCACAAAGAACCAACCTTGTCACCCTTGATTTTGGCCTTGTAGCTCCTGGAATGGAGACAAATTTCTGTTTTATGCCACAAGGCATGTAGGACTTTGGTCCAACAGCCCTAGGAAATGAATACACGTAGGCATCCCCAACTCTTTCCTCTCCTTCCACTTGAGCATCAATACTGGCTAAGCCCTGTGTGTGTGTCTTTCTTAGGCAGCAGTGGCGGTTGGGTTAGCCCCATCCTCTCCCTGAGTGCTTTCCCAGCTCCTGCTCCCAAGGCTTGATGCTCCAGTTGGGAACCACTGTCCTGAACAAAATTTCCAGAAAGATTCTCGATAACCAGAGCTCACCTGTGGGCTTTGGAGAAATATCAGAATCCTCAATTTCACTTCCCTCCGTCCAGTCAGTATCACTTTTGACAATGTTCTTTCCAAAGCCACTCTTGTTGCTTTTGGAGGACTGCACCGGAAGTAGGTCTGGGGATGCGCATGCCTGGAGGAAGTCATCTGCGTCCAATTCTTCCTCTGAACTGAATGGAGGAGTCCTAAATAAATGAAAACCCAAGCAGGGGCCCCGTTTTTGCATTTCAGGATTTGGGGGAAAGAAATCTTTTCTGCAGTCCAATGATTCCATCTTTTAAAATAGCATCATTACGTATAATAGCACTGCACTTTACAAAGTGCTTTTACCTACACATCCCATTTGCTTCATCACATGACTTAGCATCCCATTTTAAAGTGGGTGGGGGAACGGGCCAGATGGAGGATGGGCACTCAGGAGGGCACTTGTTGGGATGAGCACTGGGTGTTGTATGGAAGTGATGAATCACTAAATTCTACTCCTGAAACCAATATTGTGCTGTTAAGTAACTAGAATTTAAATAAAAACTAAAAAAAAAAAATTTAAAGTCAATTGTCTAGGCAGAATGCACATATGGCTGACAGTAGCATGTGCACTTGGAAATTGTTGGGTGAGTGCTTTTTTTTTTTTCCCACAGTTAAAAAAGAAGAATTTAAAAGAATGAAAAATAAAGTGAGATAGAAGTTCAGAGCAGTGTACATTCATTTAAGAATATTCTTTGAGCACTTAAATTCCAGACTTAATAACAATGTTCAGTTATACTACATCCCATGAAATAAGGCTCTTCCTATGAGGTTATGTACACAAAAAGTGCTTTTGAAAGATAAATCATTTATTGTCTCCAGTATATTTTATTTATACTGTCTCGACTATATATCACAATGCCTCAAGAAGAGATACTTATAGCATTAGTGTCTCCAGAAAAAGTCAATGATGAAATTCAGTTATAATGAGTTTCACTTATAATTAATAACAATAATATACCTATAATTTATTAAGTCCCCATGTGCCATGCCCTGAGGCCAAGCTCTTTCCTTTTTAAACATACAGCTTTTTATTTTTATCTATTTTACATTTTTTGTTTTTTTTTCTTTTTTTTAAATTTTTTAAATTTATTTATGATAGTCACAGAGAGAGAGAAAGAGGCAGAGACACAGGCAGAGGGAGAAGCAGGCTCCATGCACCAGGAGCCCGACGTGGGATTCGATCCCGGATCTCCAGGATCACGCCCTGGGCCAAAGGCAGGCGCCAAACTGCTGCGCTACCCAGGGATCCCTATTTTACATTTTTTAAAAAGTAGACTCCATGCCCAATGTGGGGCTTGAATGCACGACCCTGAGATCCAGAGTCGTGTGCTCCACCAACTGAGCCAGCCAGGTGCCCCAGACCCTTTTCATATATTCTTTTTTTTTTTTTACCCTTTTCATATATTCTTAATTTGTACAACCATCCTGTGAAAAAGGCAGCATTGTCCCATTGAACAGATAAGAAAACATGCTTTAGCAGGTAAGCAACTGAATCAGTGGCATACTGTTTATGACTGACTAGGATTCTTAGTATCCTAAGAAGGCCTAAGACGTAAGGTCTAGGGCCATGATCAACTTCTACAAGGGGTGAGATACTACAATATCATCTGACTACACTATCAGGGACCCAGCCACTGAAAGACAACATGATTCATTTAATTTACTGTGCTTATTGAAAATTATGGGACCCTAAAGTGAATGATGGAAAGGATGCTGGGTGGTCCCACTTCTTAGTGGGGGCCACAAGATGATAAGTGCTTTGACTTACATAAAATCTGATAAAGAAACAAAGACATGTCACAAAGGAATAACAAATTAATTATGATGTTTAATATGTAGGGCTTTGGGGATCCCTGGGTGGCGCAGCGGTTTGGCGCCTGCCTTTGGCCCAGGGCGCGATCCTGGAGACCCGGGATCGAATCCCACGTCAGGCTCCCGGTGCATGGAGCCTGCTTCTCCTTCTGCCTGTGTCTCTGCCTCTCTCTCTCTCTCTCTCTGACTATCATAAATAAATAAAAGAAAATTAAAAAAAAATATGTAGGGCTTTATTTTATTTATTTATTTTTTTAAGTAGGGCTTTAGTTAATTGTGGTACACATACTAATTTACAATAAAACGAATGTTCAGTGGAAGGAACTTTTTAAATGACCTCTCCCCACTCCCAAGTACTCACGTAACAGTTGAAGATTTTCTGGGAAAATGATCTTCAACGATATTTTTCTTAATTCTAAAAAACAACAGAAAGCCGTTTCTAAACAGCATGGGTGAATAATGTAATTTAATATAAATTTCTATGGAATTGGGGAGTCTCGCTTTTGAACACACGCTAAAGCAGATGAACAACAACAAGTGTGTTGGTACCAGTAATGGGCTGGCAGGGACTGTAAGCATGACTCTCTGCTGGGGCAAACACTGTTGTGAGTTAAATGTCTGTGTCCCCCTAAAATCTACACATTGAAGCCCTAACCCCCAAGGTGATGCTCTCTGGAGGTTGGGCCTTTGGGAGGTGATTACATTTGTTTGAGGTCATGAGGGTGGCGCTCCCATAAAGGGATTAGTGTCCTTTTAAGAAGAGGAAGACGGATCAGACCTCTCTCTCCCTGCCATGGGGGACACAATGAGAAGGTGGCCATCTGCAAGCCTAGAAAGCAAGCTGCCACCAGAACCTGACCTTACTGCATGTTGATTTCAGACTTCCAATCTCCAGAAGTGTGAGAAAACACATTTTTGTTGTTTAATACCACTTGGTCTGTGGTATTTTGTTATGGCCACCCAAGCTGACTAGGATAAACATTAATACAGACATGTTAGGATTGAATCTACTTACTTTGGAGCAGATGTCTTATCAGTAAAGACAGGTCTTTGTCTAATCAGTGGTCTGCTTCGGGGCGGAAGCTGTTTCGCCTTTGGTATCTCTCCAGTTGAAAGGGTATCCATTTGAGAAGCACTGTACTTATCTGGAATAGTAGTGTCATAAATGAGTCTCCATGGCCTTTATGAACAGTGAGTGAAAAGCACAAGAAAATACTACAATACTGTCTTCACTGACAGTTGAAACCAAAAGTCCATCTCTTGGGTCTAGAGTCCACACTATAGGCATTTTTAAAAATAAAAATAAAATCCAAGACCAACAAATGATGACTCCAACAGTATTAGACTTGCCAATCAAGTAGTCTGCGAACCATTTAAAACTGTGAAAGCTGATAGGATGTCATTCCTATGCACAGAAATGAAATGGCAGTCGGTAACAGGCTTACCCAAGGACAGTAAGGTTCTCTCTTCAATTTTACAGCTGACCTCATGTTCAAGGAATTCTCGAATTTGCTGAATATTGGGTATCTGTCTTTCTTGTTCATGTCTTGCTGATTCTACCATTCTTAGCACCCTACCGAAGTGATCACTTGGAATACCACGTATATCCTGAAGAAATCAAATGTTAAACTAATTATCCTGGGGTGGTCTTCATTTCATGAACGTTTGTCAGCATAAACTGTACCAAGCTTTTGTCCCTAATTGCTGCATGTGAGGTAAGGGACACCCCAACATAGAACACACGATCTGGCCTCAAAAGGAGCTCCCAGAGCAGTGGGACAGAGGGTGTGTGTGTGTGTGTGTGTGTGAGAGAGAGAGAGAGAGAGAGTGAGAGAGAGAGAGTGTTCATGACTGGTTAGTGGTGCCAGGCTGTGAGTGCCCATGACCCAATGCACAGAGGGGTGTGTATACGTGTGTATGTGTGTATACTAATCAACAATGCAAAGTGGGCCATCAGGATAGAATGAGTCATAAGGACAGAACACACATCCCTTCTCTTCTCTGATCCTTTCCTACTGAGAAAACAAAATACAACACAGCCAGCAAACGTTCCTGAAATGAGCGAGCTTACCGCATTAATCCCCAAAGTTTCCAGTTTCTCTAGCAAACTCTGCTCCAGGACTCTCCTTATCTCCTTGGTGAGGGAGGGGTTACTCTTTAAAGCTTTCCTTAACTGGATCTTGTTATTTAATTTCTGTTCAGTCTCCTTTCCTGAAATAAGGTTTACGAAGTATGTTAAAAAAGTTAAATACATAAAGTCTCTCAGCAGAAACTGGCAAAACACCACTTTAAAACAGCAAGCAAGCATTTTGTAATGTGTTAAAGTTTTTGGACTCTTACCATTCGGCACAATATATAATGCAAGAGTATCACAACTTTTAAAACTGTCTTAAGTTGGCTTCAAAACTTCGGCGCCTTTAAAGACTCTTTCTTGACCACTTAACTGAATTATTACCAGGTAAAATAATGCAAGAGAAATGCCTCTATAGAAGCACAGTAGAAAAAACAAATTCCTTAGAAATTCAGTGGCTCAACCTAAAATTATTTTACTACTTTCTGAAGAATTCCTTTCCTAAATTGTTAGAATTTATGTATCATTTTTGAAGAAGCCCATGTATATATATATTTTAGAGATTTTATTTATTTATTCATGAGAGACACACAGAGAGAGACAGAGACGTAGGCAGAGGGAGAAGCAGGCTCTCTGCGAGGAGCCTGATGCCAGACTCAAGCCCCAGAACCCTGGGACCATGACCTGAGCCCAAGGCAGATGCTTAATCACTGAACCACCCAGGTGTCCCAGGAGCCTGATGTATATCAAATAGTTAGGTTTTTATTTAATTAATGCAGTAGTTTATATAAAATTTCAAAATATGAAATTATCCCTCCCAAAATATTTACCAAAATGAAAATGAGGTTAACAAGAGTCTTAGGAAAAGTATATTCTGTTTAAAACAATCTATAATTAAGGGCAAAGAAAAAATAATTGGTCAGATTCTCCTAACTTTTCCTTCCTTGTTCCTATTTCATTCCCCCACTAAAAAAATGTTGAGTTCAAGAGCGTTTGGAAAAGGGGTGTGGCTACATGACCCTGAAGGATGGAGTCCTAGGTCAAAGCAGAGGGAGGGCTTGATGTAAGAGGCTCCCTACTGGGTTGTTCAGACCCTTCATGAACATCCAAAGCCAGATCTGGAGAATGCAAAAACAGGGCTGCCATTCTGGAGTCTAGTCTCCAGGCATGGGCGTTTCACCCAAAAGGTGAGGCCAAGTGCCAGCACCTAGTAGGGCGGGAGTGACAAGGACCACCTATTCTGAGGCACAGCCTCGCCCACCACAGTAGATGGGAGTTTTAGGGACCCACAGCATTCGATTGTCAGAATAAGCACACAAAATGCCCCACATTTCAGACATTCTCCAAACCCTAGTTCAACTCCAGCAGTGAAGAGTATTACTGTTCAGGGGCGCCTGGGTGGCTCAGTTGGTTAAGCATCTGCCTTTGGCTCAGGTCATGACCCCAGGGTCCTGGAATCAAGCCTCATGTCCCTCTGGCTTCCTGCTCAACGGAGAGGCTGCTTCTCCCTCTCCTTCTGCCCTCCCTCCTGCTCATGCTCTCTCTCGCTCTCTCAAATATATAAATAAAATATTTTTTTTAAAAAAGAATATTTCTGTTAATAGATGGTTTTGCTAGGGCAAAGTTAGTCAAATTACTGTGTGTACATTAAATAAAAGCTGAAGTCCTACAACGATAATGCTTTTCTATAATTTGGCACTGCAGCTTGTTAAACTGGAATCATGAAATTTTATAAGCTTATGTATTTTTTAATTTATTTTCTATAAGCTTATGTATTAATAAAAATCAGAAATAATCTTAAATTTTATATTTTCAGCATTCATGCTGCTTTCTCACCAATGTTTTCCAGTATTCTGGAGCCACGTTAAAAAAAAAAAAAAAAAAAAGCACTTCTGAAGGCACCTGGGTGGCTCAGTCAACTGGGTACCTGACCCTTGATTTCAGCTCAGGTCATAATCTCAGGATCTTGGGATGAAGCTGTGTATCAGCTCTGCATCAGCATCTGCATCATCTCTCTCCTTCTGCCCCTCCCCCCATCCTCTCTTTTTCTTCCAAATAAATAAATAAAATCTTAAAAAAAAAAAAAAAAAAAACCACTCTGTCCTAGGAACAATACATCAAAATCTAGAGAGCTCAGCTGCAGCCATGGCCGTGCCGCTGGCTTTGGCTTGCTGGTTAGTCATCAAGTGTACAACTATCTAAGGCTAAAAAACGAGAAGAGGTACCAAGAGATTGCTTGGGAGTCCTGGCGCTACCACAGAAATAGACACACCTATCCACCCTGTTTACACAAAGGGAATTTTTTGGCCAGTACCCAGGATATAAAAGGAAATGCATGGACACACAGCCAGAGAGGCTCCAGGCTCTGATTGCTCCAGGACGGGTCAAGCGAACTAAATTTGGGTTCATCCTCAACCCTGATGACAAGCTCATTCTGGTGCAGGAGTTTCCCAAAATGACTGCAAATTAAACATTTCCCTCTGCCCTCAGATTCACTTTATATGTTGACACTTGTTTTGGATTCATTTATGAATAATTAGAAAACTCTTCATAGGCAAGACTCTTAACAAGACTTAGCCTGGCCAGTGGAAGCAAGAGAAATAATATAGAAAGGACAGGAAAAAAAAAAGTTTTTAATGTAAAGGTAGAATTAATCCCTGGAAAGTCAATCACAACTGAAGATTTGAATCAAAGCATATATTGCTCACCAAGATCAATAGGACAAAACTTTCTAGAGATCAGCATTTCCCCTAAATAAAAAATTTAAAGCATACCCAGGCAGGTGGCTAATGCACAAGAGCCCACACAAATGATCATTTATATCAAACATACAACATACCATTTTAGGTGAGCAAATAATAACAGCACAAAGCAAAGAGTAAAAAATAACCAAAACAGAATTTCTGAGTCAGAAGAGACTTCATCAACTAGTAAGCGATCTTCTCATTTTTCACATGAGGACACTAAAACCAGAAAGGTAAAGAGACTGCTCCAAAGGCACCCTGCTAGTCCTGGACCAGCCTGCCTCTCTCGATCCCTTTGTTCTTTGCATTAAACTACAGAAAGTGAAAGCCTGGACTTTAGTTTCAGCCCTGTCCCTAATTAAGATCAACAGCTTGGAGCAATCTCCCAATCCTCCTGTGTTTCAAGTTTCTGAACAATGAAACTCCTGGCCTTCCCATTCTAATATCCTACAGAACAGCAAGATCAAATATGTCTCCCCAGGACTGTCAAAAAGTAAGGGCAATACTTCTGGGTAACAGCCACAGTGCTTTGTGAACCACTGCCAAAATGTAGCTAGACAGGCATTATCTGCAAAATGTTAGCACAGCTGAGGAATTTATTGATAGTAATTAATCTGCTGCCAGCATGCTGGCTCCGTGGAGGCACTGAAGGATTCATATGGTCACTGGCTTCTGTAACAGTGTGCTTGGGACTCAGGGCTTTCTAGTGGCCCTCAGCCCTCATCCTGTCTCCCATTAGGGCTGTGTCTGAACACATGGAGGGTGGCAAAGATTATTTTCTTTCCCAATCTGATTCTCCGTACGGGACGACCACCAGTGATGGTGTTTGCTGCCAATGATCCCAGACTCATACCTTACATGATCTGGATAGAAGAATTCTAAAACACAGGCTAAGGGCACCTGGATGGCTCAGTACAAGATTCTGGAGTCCCGGGACCAAGTCCCACATCGGGCTCCCTGCATGGAGCCTGCTTCTCCCTCTGCCTGTGTCTCTGCCTCTCTCTCTCTCTGTGTGTCTCGCATGAATAAATAAAGTAAAACCTTAAAAAAAAAAAGCACAGGCAAAATGATGCAGTGGATAGAAGTGGGGCCCCAAGTGGTGACAATGGACAGTTAGGATGGTCTCTTAGAATCTGACTTTTTTTTTTAATGAGTGTGAACCATATGACTTGAGACTCCAATTTTGAAACTTTGGACCTCCTGACACATTTCATAGATTCTGCAGAGAATAAGATGTTAAATGGAAAATAAACATCGTGTAGATATTATGGATGTGCTGGATTTAGTCACTTCTCAATTTGTAGCCTTATTAAAAAATAATTTGGAAAAAGTCATCCAGAGACCCCAGAAGTTACAATAAATATTAAAAATTTACCTGTTGGAATATTTAATTTTAATTCTCTTCCTAACACAAATTGTAAAACCAGAGTTCACATAAATATTAACAATTTGCTTTCTCCTGAAGAGGTGATATGTGGTGAAGCACCATTGTTAAGGAGAAAACAATAAATAGATTCAAGTATAACTGTTTTAGGATTTACATATCTGGCATTAGAAAATACTCTTAATAATGGGGAATTATTTTCATAAACTTCAAAAATTAATTGACAGAAAAGCATTTTGAGAGCTGCTGAATAAAATGAGTAAGCCACAACAACTTTATCTTCCCAAACCTTGGACAGCTCTCAAATTTCACCATAAAGACATTATTCTGGGGCACCTGAGTGGCTCAGTCAGGTAAGTCTCTGACTCTTGATTTCAGCTCAGGTTATGATCTCAGGGGCATGGGATCGAGCCCCGTGTCAGGCTCTGCACTGGGTGTGGAGCCTGCTTGAGATTCTTTCTCTCTCTGCACCTCCCCTACCATCTGTGTTTGAGCTCTCTAATAAATAAATAAATCTCTTTTTCTTAAAAAAAAAAAAAAGACATTACTCTGCACATAAGTATTCTACATTGAGAGCTTAGATACTATGATTTTCTTGTTATTAAAATAATTTTGAAATGGGCAGTTCACCCTCTCATCTAATAGAGTCAAGGTGTGAGAAGTAATTACTGTGCTGGGAACATTTTTGTATTATGTGGTATACAACGAATTCACGTCGGCTTGTCATCAGACCAGAAAACATCTGCGTTGACATAGGACTTACATTTTTCCCCCAAGTTCCCTGACACAGGAAGGTCTTGTTCACATGCTAAGAATACAGCAAAGCAGGGGAAAATGTAACAGCATGATAAAGGAATAAAGGTGATAGAATACTACAGATGGATTAAAAACATAATCTCCCAAACCTAAACGTCTCCCCTAATTTTGATATGCTGTGATAAAAACCACTGGATCCTAATTTCAAGGCTTGGCTTTTAGCACCTGAATAGAATCCATGCAGGTAGAAACCCTGATGGAGCCTTGGTTACCTTTTTCTTCTTCTGAAAGTTCTTCTATGGGCTCCAGTATGTGCGATGAGAATGACTGCTCTATTAACGAGGAGAAATAAGAATAGTACAAACAGGACAACAGCAAAGTAAAATTAGTTTCCTTTCAAACAATTTTGAAAGCTATAGTTGCACAGTATTTTACTCATGCCTACAACAGCAGGATTTGCTGGGGGAAAATGCAGGCAGTCTGTTAGGCCTGGATCCTTTTGCAGGTATCTGCTCTCTCCATGTATTTTCCATTAGCTCCCCTCTCGGGAAAGGATATTTTCAAATGACGGCGTCCAGTTTGTCACTCAGCAACCTCGTGCCTGATGGGATTTCGAGGCACAAGGACACAACTACAAAAGATCTTCTTCACTTATCCCCCAAAATACTTTCCTTATAAAATATTTTGATCAGGTGGCTAGAGAGAAAATTAATGAAACTATTTCAACTCCCAAGGGTAAAACCATTACAAAATGCCCGAGGCCCTAGGATTCCCCCTCTTGCTAGCCCCAGGGTCTTCAGGTGGGAGGACCAGGAGGATGGTGAAGGACATGTGGCCCCAGGGTCAGTAGCAGGACTAGGACCCTATTCTTATAGACCTCTGCATCCCTAAACCACAGTTCAACACCAGCTTCTGCTCCTGGAGAGCCACCAGGGCGAGGCCGCGGACAGATGACACGTGAAGATAGGCTGTCCCCAATCCCATCCCAGAACAATGCCCGGGGAGGCGAGGCCTCTGGGTGATTTCCCAGGGCAAATGTGACTGTGCACAGGCAAATGCACGGACAGCATGGATAAAGCCAATCGCCACCCTATCAACAGAGGGAAAGTTCCTTCCTGGGGAGGATCAGGTTTCAACTATCAGACAGTCAGGCTTTAGAGGTGGGATAAAATGCAACCAGAAGTCTAGCTGAGGAAGTGCATGCTTCGCTCATCTTCAGCTTGGAGACTCTGAAGTTCTAGCTCTTAATTGACCAAAGGGTATTTCTGGAACTCTGCTTTAGGCATCAACAAACATATGTGCACACATATAGGTATACACAAATAAACGCATGTTATACTTAAGTGCACGTAAACAGGCTCTGATAGCTTGTTAGCCACCCAGTCTACCTGACATTGACTAGGAGAAAAGCATTTTAAACTGCTTTCCAGGGCAGCCCAGGTGGCTCAGCGGTTTAGTGCCGCCTTCAGCCCAGGGCATGATCCTGGAGGCCCGGGATCGAGTCCCACGTCGGGCTCCCTGCATGGAGCCTGCTTCGCCCTCTGCCTGTCTCTTTCTCTCTCTCTCCCCATGTTTCTCATGAATAAATAAATAAAATCTTTAAAATAAATAAATAAACTGCTTTATAAATAAAATAACAGTTATTTATTAAAATAAATAAACTGAATGAACATTCAGAACACAGCCTACTAGGAAACAATAGCTTACTTTAATTGTGAAGCATGAACATGATCATACAAAGAGCATTTAATTCCATCCATGCACCACAGCTATGGAACATCAGAAATGTGCTTTCAAATTTGTTATCTGGCATCAAGATTTTCAAATTATATAAAGAAAAAAAACCCATAGCTATGTGTGGTGATGGATGTTAACTAGACTCTATGGTGATCCTTTCACAATATATACAAGTATCATTGTACTTGCAATCATTTTATTGTATTGTAATCATTATGCTGTACACCTGACCTAATATGTTGTATATCAGTTATATCTCAATTAAAGAATTAGGGCACCTGGGTGGCTCGGTCAGTTCAGCATCTGCCTTCGGCTCAGGTCATGCTCCCAGGGTCCTGGAATGAAGCCCTGTACCTGCTCTGTGGGGAGCCTGCTTCTCCCTCTTCCCCTCCCTTTTCTCACATACACTCACTCTCTCTCAAATAAATAAAATCTTTTAAAAAAATAAAGAATTAAAAAAGTAAAATTATACAAATAGACTATTTACTAATTTGAACCGCTGAAAAGAGGGATTTTAGGAGGATAGCTAATTTCCATTTTTTAACAGTCACATTTTTTTTTTAAGATTTTGATTTATTTGTTCATGAGAGACACAGAAAGAGACAGGCAGAGGGAGAAGCAGACTCCATGCAGGGAGCCCAATGTGGGACTCGATGCCTGGGACTCCAGGATCACGCCCTGGGCAGAAGGCAGACGCATTCAACCGCTGAGCCATCCAGGTGTCCCACATGGTTTATATTTTATTGTACTTTATGAAAATGACAAAAATAAAGTTATGAGGAAAAGCTCTATAAAATCTCCCCAAAACATCATATGCATATTTGTTATCATTATAAGGATAGCACTAGGATTTATTTCACTTGAGTCAAGACAAAGCATCAAAATTGTGACCTCAGCTGCTGTGGGGAAGATGGTGGGGTTCTGTGGCCAGGGGGGAACCCAGGCTCTTACTATGAAGGCTGAGGAAGTGAGGTACCCCAGACCCCAGCCCCCTAAACTAGCAAACTGATGTCCAAATGTGGAGTGAAGGGCCTGTCGTTGTTATGCTTTGTAAGCCACAGGTCCAACCTCCAAGTGACCCAGTTCTTGTCCTAAGTTGAGATCTTTAGGCTGAGAGCTGACGGACTCGAAGACTTGAGTCTCTCCCCTCTGAACTCTCCAAAGGCTTCCAGAAAAATCCTTATGTTAGTCTCCTACCATTACCTCCAGAAAATGACCTCCCAGGTCTGTACCGAGTCCTCTCTGGTGCTAGCTGGCCGAGTTACACTTTGTCAGCCCTCTCCTAGATGCTAACATTGGCCAGTGCTTGCTCAGTGGTTTCTGTTCCAAAGGTCTCGCTTCAGTTGATCCTTACCATCCATGGCCCATGATAGTAGCCATTACTGTTCTCCCATTTGGCAGACAAGGAAACCCAAACCTATGGCTTCATGAGTCAACTGTGAATCCAGACTGTCTGCTTCCCTTCAGAGTCCAGACTCTTGGCCACAAAACCTCGGTGCCTTCCTGCTGGCAATTGTGGGGTATATCTTCCAGGCTACTCTAAATGGCACTGTCAGTGTGAGCTCACTGTGTTCTTAACCCTTCCCTCATTCTTGCCTGGTCACTTGCACCTGCACTTTTCTACCAGTTCCACGGAACTGCTGGTATGTCTGCTCCCTCCTATTTCAAAACCTCAACCCCAATTCCTAGGTGGTGACTCTCACATAGGCCACCACTCTCAATCCTCAGTCAGTCTCTCCAGCTCTAATCCTTTTTGAGTACACTCCTGTCAGGCTCAGCCTCCCCAAGCCCAGTCCTACAGTCCAGCCATGCCCTGCCTCAAGAACATTCAGCAGCTATGTAAGGCCAGAAGAATGGCCCAAACAGCTACCCTGGCACATGTTGCCTGCCGTAAAGAGTCTCAACCAACCTTACTTCCCTCAGATCTCTTCTGTATACCCTATGCTCAGCCCAATAATTCTTGGGCACCATTCTTTCACATCTAATACCTTCCTGTTACCTTTTGCTTCTATTTTTTGCTTTGTCTGAGTGGAAAGGAGCAGCCTATACCCTGCTGCCTCTCTGGGACAACCCACATCTTATAACTGATCACTCAATCCCAGGAAATTCTGAAGAGCCCATCCCAGCTCTAAAGCTCCCGGTGAGATCTGCAGAGGCCTCTGCAGCAGTGCATCTGGGTTCAGCGTCCCCTGCCACCCACTGCTGCTTCTCTCACAGGGATTGTCTAAGAGCATGCCCAATAAATATCTACCTGCAAATCTCCACCTCACAGTCTTATTTTCCTGGGAACCCAACCTAAGACAGTTTTCATGGTAAAGAGCCTCATCAGGCTCTGAGATGGAACAAAAGGAAAGACTGGTAGGTAACTGAGCTAAATAATGTTATGCAATACAGACTAACACTCCCCACCCCCCTACCTCCACCCCCTACAGTTGGGGATACTGCCATGGGTGGGGGCGGGGGGCAGGTCAGTGGGTCCCTGTACAAGCCTCCTCCTTGCTCCTGCCCATTGAGATGCTCACAAATCAGCTCAGATCCCAATCCAAAGGCTGCAGGCCTCATGCCAGGTCTGGCTGGCATTTAAAACTAGCACTTTAATCCCAGCAGATGCCAGCAAGGGGGCATGGCTGGTTCACGCAGCCCAGCTCCAATCAGGGCAAAGTCCATAAGGAACACAGTGCTTTGGAGCTGATGGATTTGTCAGGACTCTTGAATTAACTCCAGACAGCTAAACATACCTACTATAGGAGTCCTTTATTGGGTGCCAGAAATATGAAGCAAAGGAAATGTAGTCCTCCTATACTGTCACACAAAAGGCTAATGATAACAAAGTAGACAAAAAAAGAAAAGAAACTATAACACCTTGAAGTACAGAGAAGTGGCCAGCAATGCATGAGAAAAATAAACCCTGAAAAAGAAGGCAAGAGAGAGACTTTAGACCTGACAGAAAGAATATGAACAGAGAGCACTTGCCAGGGGACATTTTCTTGTGATTCAATATTAAAGCAAACTTACATAGGTCCCACCACATTTTACCTGTGCTGCTGGCCCAGAGGGAGGACACCCACATGTCCTAAACACTTGTACATAATAAAGCCCAATAAGTGAGGAGTTTACGCGTTACATAGTGGGAGCACATGTTCAACGGTATTAACCTTCCTGAGATGACCTCAGGAAAAAAAGCAAAGGGTAATAAACACCATCACGAATCCATCAATGAACAAAAAAGGATGGTTACAAAAGGCCATGATAATATGAGCCCCAATATTTCTGAATGCACAAAGTCTGACTTGACCGTGGAATTAAGTCTAACTCAATAGCTACATAGCAAAACGGAATGAAGTAATCATTTACATTCCAGAAGCATTTGTAGAGAAAAAGAAAAGTGGGGCCCCCTCGCATCCTAATTCAGTTAATGTCCAGCAGACCTAGGAAAGCAATGTACTAAAAATATACATGCAAAAACTGTAAGCGCCCTAACAGCATAAAAATAAAATATGGCTACCCACATTCACCCCATCCATTGGATCACGTAATTAACTATTGCCCTTGCGCCCTGGTCCAAGGACTGGTTCCTACTGTTCCCTTTGTTTTCCATCACATGTCTTTTCTAGATTTTTCCAATCAATTGCTGAGACTGTTTGTTTAAAAAAGGTGACTTGCTGTTGTACTGAAAGTTATAAAAACAGTCACATATGCCCTGTGGCATGTGCTGGTTGGCTGATCTAGTAGAAAATCACCTTCTTACCCAACACCCACTACTTTCCACCAAAAACCATACATAATCCAAGTACTGCTCAACATTAACATCTTTGCTGGTGAGTCCAGCAACCTAGACATTTTTTACTTTATGACTTTGGTAGGTATGTATGTTCACAGTTTACCATAATAATACATATGAAGATGGCAGTTTTATTAACTGCTCTGGCATTCACTAAGACACCTTCTGCTTTCCATAATTACCCCCACAGAAGCACTTTTAGTTAATAAGTTCTCTGACTCAGGGCGGAAACTGCACATTAAATGCTGAGACTTAGCTGGAACTTACCATGTGCCATGGTTAGATTCGGTTTTGCATCTAGAGTCTGTGCAGCAGAGGCACTCACTGAAACAGCAGAAAGAGAAAATCTCACACCCTCCTATAAAGAAAGCATCTCAACCTGATGATAATCAACTACTCTGCAAATTACTCAAGATACATAGATATCATAAAGAACGAATGTTTCACACAACAACCACCAGCTAACGTAAACCCATTCTCTGTAACAGCTTTATTTTATTACAAAGCATACAATTCCACATAAAATATACAACTCTAATTACACAATTAGGATAATCAGCACTGTACAACCATAACTGCTATCTAATTTTAGAACATTTTCATCACATGCATGAAAATGCCCATTAGCTGTGACTCCCCACATCCTTTTCCCCATGGCGCCCCTGGGGACCACTGATCTACTTTCTATCTCAATGGATTTGCCTATTCTGGGCATTTCATTTAAATGGACTCATACATTGTGGCCCTTTGTGCCTGGCTTCTTTCACTTAGCATACATTTTTCAAAGTTCATCCATATCGTATGTAGCATGTTAGTAGCATACAGTTTTATGGCCAAATAACATTCCACCGTACAGTCAGACCACATTTTATAGACTTATTCATTAACTGATGGGCATTTGGGTTGTGTTCACTTTTCAGTTGTTATCCTGGTATGAACATTCATGTACAATGAACCAGTTTTAAAAATCCAACCACTGGGCTGGAACACACCACAAGAAGGCATTAACTCAGCCCTAGCCTTTGGAGAAAAGTCTGATTCAGGTGAGACTAAATTCTCTCTACTTTAAAATGTTTAGAAAAGTAGATTCCATAGCCTTCCTTCCAATATTTGGCAATGCTTACCTGAGATTCATCTCTGGATCGTGTGTTTGTTTGTTTGTTAGTGTTCTCTTTTACTAGCTTATTAGTGACAGATCTTTAATTCCACTCCTACTCTGAAAAATAATGGCCATAAACCTCAGCATCTTCCATTGGGACACATTTTCGTCTTTACAATGACTGCTGATGAAAGCGTTCAACTCCTAACTGTGCACAGATTGCTAACAATGCTGGAAATCTAAGACCCCCAAAGCCACTGGTGACCGACATAATCTAGATCAAGGTTAGCAAGAGTATAATCCATGGGACATGTGAGCCCACCACTGGTCTTTGTAAATAAAGTTTTATCGGAACACAAGATTGTTCCAATATTGTGCCAAGTATAATTAAAGTGTGAACAATAGCAATTTAATGCCTTTTACCCTTTCCATCCCTGTATGAAATGTATTTTTTTTTCCCCACAAGATAGAAGCCTGGCTTCTTTCCCTCAGCCCTACTCTTGGGACCAAACTGCCCTTCCCTCCACAGCACCTCTCAACCTCTTCAGCTTCCAGAACAATCAAGAGGCCTCCAGAAATGGGGCGCCTGGGTGTCTCAGTCAGGAAAACATCTAACTTTTGATTTCAGTTTGGGTCATGATCTCAGAGTGTTAGGATAGGCCCTGCATCAGGCTCCTTGCTCAGCAGGGAGTCTGCTTGAAGATTCTCTCTTCCTATCTCTCTGTCCCCCTCCCCCACTCTCTCCCTCTAAATAAATAAATCTTTAAAAAACAAAAGAAGCACCTGAGAAGACTGAGAGAATAAAACCATTAGCATTTTCCAGTCAATTGTGCCAAATCCCCAAACCGGCTCCTCAGTGCCCTTTCCTCACTACAGTCCTGGGCCAGTACGAGTGGTACGTCACTCGGGGGCCCAGCCTCAGCCTGGACCCTTCCCTGGTACTCAGATCCGTGTTCACACGCATGTCCTCTCTTGCCCAGGACTGTCTGCTCCCTAGCTTCCTTCACCCTTACACTTCCCCGAGTGGAATAGTAAAATAATAAAAAATATTTCAACTACTTATTTTTAGGAAAACAATCTGCCCGTTTCTACACTGCACGAATTATGTCTTTGTGGATCATAGCCAAATCCTGATGGCTCCAAGGGACAGACATGCTGAGCCCACCTCAAGCGAGAGGTTGACAGAACATTAGGTCATCTCTGAGTCTCAGTGATGCCAAAATGAGGCGGCCACCAGTCACATCGTCACATGGTGTATTGCCTTGGGAAACCCCCAAGTACAAACTGAGGCAATGCCAAGAATTTACAGCTGTCCCTTGATTAGGTGAACTGAGAAATAATAGGTATGGCTAACCCAAGTCACCACAAAATCACATGGATATTTACAATCTTGGGTTTTGGAGCTAGGTCAAAGCCAAGAATCAAAATAGATCATATGTAATCTCCAAACACATTGGTTTTCAAAGGAAAGCCTCTACAAATAAGTTGTATCTTGGTTTAGCACTTTAAAAATATCTTTAGGATCCTGAGCCTATTATAGACACTTACTAGGTAGAGCTGGGGCAGTTGGCTTAGATTCAGAAGTTTGCCAGGTTAAAGGATTCCCTGAAATAAAAAAAAATACATTAATTAATGACAAAAATCATCAGCTAATGGGTTACATTTTGCCAGCGCTATCCTAATCTCTTCCTTTAGAAAAAATAAAATAAAATTCACCAATATATGGTGACTCACCCAACGGAGTAAAGACATTTAACATAAATCCTTACAAAACTTTTTCCTAAAATTATTATCAGTCAAATATTTATGCTAAGTAATTATACATGTATTGCTAACTACCTGAACTCTCACTGTTTGGAAGAGGAGCTGCAGGGAACCATGGCCCTCCCCAAACCTTTATCTCAAAACACGAAGGAACCCGTATGTAGGTCACTGAGCCTCCCGGGGGCTCCTAGAAACAAGGAGGAAATGCAGCTCATGCACCCATTACCAACCCCCAATTGGTTGCCCCTCAAGTAGACAAGTATCCTTCAATGACCTGAGATGAGCAGGAACCAATACATGGGTTATTTGAAAGGAGTGCAGGCAAAGGAAAACTTTATTCTTTATCGGGAGACCCTGGTGGCACTACCGACTCCAGTCTCCCTTCTAGACTCATTCCGGAGTGAGCAGGAGGTAGGTGGCTATATCGCCGCTACGGTCAGTAGTCTCTGTCTGCCTCTGCTACACTTAGAACAAACCCTTAACCCCCAAATGCCATAGCTGACAATGACGCAGCAAGTACTTTAGAGTAACTGACGTTGGGGTCATTCACGACAGCTCATACCAGTGTGTGCTTAACAGGTGTATTTTATATATGTTCCCCCATTTAATCATCATAAGAAGCCTCTTAATGCCCCACCCCTAGAGCTGCGGAAAGGGAGGCATTCACAGAACTACACAGCGTCAGGCCGGGAGTTGAGCCCAGTCTGTCTCTAGACCTGGTGCGTTTAACTCTATCTCCAACGCATCGCACATCAGCCCAGAGGTATGGTTACTAAGCATGTAACCACACCTAACGATATTCTGATAAAAAAAAATATGTTAAGACCATTTGATGATAGTCTAGGTATTTAAAATTCTTCAACTTTCTGGATTGTGGTAACAGATCACTCAAATTGAAATCACCATAGGAATGCCATGTTAGTGCCTGGAAGCCACCGGGAGCCCCACCTCACCTCCAGCCCTGGGTTCCTGGTCTACCTACCTTTGGGTTCACTGACACTGTTTAATGGTTTACTGGTAAATTCTTTAATCTGCAAAGAAAAAGTTTTGTTTTGTTTTTTTAATGATGCAAGTTTGAAGCCAAATAGGGACATACTGGATAATGGACAGATGCTGTATTTAGTAAATTAACCTTTTCATGAAGTCCTCCACTTCATGAGGACAGATGGACTTTAAAGATATGAAGGCAAAAAAAAAAAGATATGAAGGCAAACATTTTATAAAAGTGGCATTTGGATTGGGCTGCTTCTCAAAGTAAGCACAAAGACAAATTCTTCTCTACCTTCAAATTTATTCTAAATTCTAATCAAATACATTTGCTTGCTCTTTACAGTTTTTATTTTAAATACCTTGAAAAAATTATCTTATTGGATTGACTTTTACAAACAATCACAGGGAAGAAGCTATTTTACCTCCTTTATCTTATCCAACTTATGAATGCTCTAAAATAAAACAGAACGTTCTGAGGTAAATTGCCCTGCTTGAAGAAAACCAGTGCCAATACACAGCCCAAAATACCTGTTGTTTCTGTGTGATAATCAGTTCATTCTGCTCCTGGAGTCTCTGGCCTAGCTCCTCTATCCTTTTCTTATAGAAGATGTTACTTGCGTTTAGATCATCTATCATGGAGTTTCGAAGTTTCTCTATGTGTGACAAAAGCTAGAAAGAAAAAAAAAATTAAGGCACCTGTCTGCAAACAGCATGTTAAAATGTCTCCATTCTGCCATCTGTACCTACACACCCTGTGATCTTTGCTGGCTTTAGGTTATCTATGCCCATCAAGTCACTGACTACATCTTTGGTCGCTGCGTACCAAGGCGTAGGCTATGCAGGTCTGTAGGTCCGGTGACCAAGCACAACCTCTGGCCCTTGGCAGGTTCACAATAAATATTTATGGAGAAAGGATGGTGGAAGAAAGGGAAGAGGGAGGGATGGACGCAGAAAACAGAAAGATCTAAAGGTTCAGGGATTCATCTTCAGAGACTTCATGTCAGGGAAGATCATATACTGGACATCAAAAAAATCCTAGAAGAATGTGTTTTCAATCATTTAGGCAAAGATTCTTAGAACAATTTCACCAGCCGCTTAGGCAGAGGGGAGAGACACCTTGGTCACTGGAGCAAGGACATTCCGGGCCTGCAGCCTGGAAAGGGAGGTGAAGTGCAAACCAAGCCAAGGGGGTGGCGAGTGTGCCTCCAGGGGTGCGGAGAGCTCCAGAAGCAGCACTTCCCAACTTGTTTGGTGTTTTGTAACACTCACTCATCAAGCACTTCATCTTGTTGTATCCACACCACAACCTTATGGATGCATGTTTCCCATGTATGGAGGGGGGAATCTCAGGTCTTGAGAGGTAAAGTAGATGGTCTTGAACTCAGAGGGAGGGAATGAGCCCAGACTCGAACTTTCATTATCTGGCTGCAAAGTTACTGCTCTCAGATTTAGTGACTACATCATGAAGCATCTTAGTAAACAGTATTTGAAAACAATCAAGTAGCCTGTCCCAGGCTAAAAGAAATTTATTTCTTAAGAAATAAATCACCAAAGGGGGCGTCTGGGTGGCTAAGTCAGTTAAGTGTCTGTCTTCGGCTCAGGTCATGATCCCAGGATCCTAGGATTGAGGCCCATGTCCAGTTCCCTGTTCAGCGGGAAGTCTGCTTCTCCCTCTCTCTCTGTCGCTCCACCTGCTAGTGCTCTCTCACATACACATGTGCTCTCTCTCAAATAAATAAATAGAGATCTTAAAAAAAAAAAAAAGAAATCACCAAATCAAAAAGTCATACAACATATCTGTTAGAGTGGCCAAAATCCAGGGCACTGACAACACCAGATGCTGGTGTGGATGGAGAGCAGCAAAAACTCATCCGTCACTGGTGGGAATGCAAAATAGTACAGTCACTGGAAGACAGGCAGTTCTTACAAAATGAAACATACCTTTACCCTATGATCCAGCAGTAAGAGTCCCGGGCATTTACCCAAAGGAGCTGAAAACTTACATCCACATGAAATCCTACCCACATTTACAGCAACTCTATTTGTAATTGCCGAAACTTGGAAGCAACCGGGACGTCCTTCAGTAGGTAAAGGGATAAATAAACTGTGGTCCATCCAGACAATGGAATATTATTCAATGCTAAAAAGAAATGAGCTACGAAGCCATGAAAACACTTAGAGGAATCTTAAATACATGTTGCTGAGTGAAAGAAGCCAACCTGAAAAGGCTATATCCTATGATTCCAATTATAGCACATTCTCGAAATGGCAAAACTATGGAGACAGTGAAAAAATCAGGGATTGAGCATGGGATGAATTGGCAGAGTGCAGAGGATTTTTCGGGCAGTGAAACTATTCTGTTGATGCTATAGTGGTGGCTACACCACTCTACATGTTCTAAATGGTCTTTTTACATTTGTCAAAATCTAAAGACTGTACAATACCAAGAGTAAACCCTAATGTAAAGTATGGACTTTGGGGGACCATGATGTGTTATGTAGGCCTAGCAAATGCAACAAATGTACCATTATGGTGCAGGATGTTGATAATAGGCGAGGCTGTGTGTATAGAGCGAACAGGGAGTATAAGGGAACTCTCTGCACTTTCTGCTCAGTGTTGCTATGAACCTAAAAAAAAAAAAAACCTATTTACATTTAAAACAAAACGGCAACAGGGTCATCCTACTCCTATGCAACAGGGTCTTCCTACTCTTATGCTCTGTGCACGCAGGAGGCTAGACAAGCACTGGGTTGAGCCAGGTTGAAAAGTTTTCCTGGGGCCACCAGGTGGCCCAGTCCATTAAGCATCTGTCTTCGGCTCAGGTCATGATCTTGGGGTCCTGGGTTCGAGCCCCACATCAGGCTCTCCGCTCAGCAAGGAGTCTGCAGCTCCCTCTCCCTCTGCCTCTACTCCCTGCTCGTGTTCTCTTGCTCTCAAATAAATAAATAAATAAATAAATAAATAAATAAATAAATAAAGTTTTTTTTAAAAAGAAAAGGTTCCCTGAGTGAAGATTAAAAAGAGCCTTTCATATTCTAGGGGATGCTAAGAATCTCCTCCAGGAGAACACTATCAAGAACCTTCCCTACATTTTTGTGGACCATGGAAAGAATGCCCCAAAGCAGGTTGGGAAACAGAGCTGGAAAATCAAAGGAAAAGCCAGTGAAAATGCCCAGGGTTCCAGGCAGAGGTTTGGGATCAGCAATATGTGGCGTCAATCCAGACCCCCCAGAAGAAAGAGGACACAGGAAAAACTAAGGGAGGTTAACACTTGGGTAATGGGATTGAGAAGTGACCAGAAAAGCACAGGAAAGAGTTCACTGAGTGAGGAACATGATAGTTTAAGCAAGAAAAAGCCAGAAATTATTTCTGAAAGTCTGTGGCCCTCGAACCCATTCTTGTAACCTCCTGTCATTTCAAGTACTATGTTTTTTCTCTCTTTCAGAGCACAGAACCCCATCATTTCCCTTTGTATGTGACCACCGTACAACCTCCCAAGTTCCATGGAGTCTTCAGTCAGGTCAAAAGGGCATGCCATCATTTATCTGTGACTCCCTTTTGAACTCCTACCGATGATATTTAAAAAAAAAGAAGAAGAAAAAGACTGCCAAGAACCCAGGTAAAGCAATAAAAACTTGGCAATCATAACTTCCCTTAAACAGAGAAACACAATATGTGTATTGTAGGACCAGTAGGCAGCAATCATGTGGAATAATTAATAGTTAGGTCTCAGGCAGAGATTACTAAACCTGATTGAATCCTTCCCTCTGTTAGGGTTTGAGAGAAGTTAAGGAAGAAGAAAGCAGCTTCTGAACTAGCAAAACCGAATGACAGTGGAGCAGCGTAGCCTAGCGGTGGCACAAAAACCCCACACTCCCAATACATGGGGTGATGCCCCTCACTCAGAGTCGGGGAAGGCCTCTCCTCCTTCCTCCAAAACCACCATCAGGCATTCTTTCTATCATAACTTGCAGTGGCCACATGTACACATCTGCAAATCGCATTCTATTCCTGCCAGACAGCCACTGAACTGACAGTTCCTACACCTGCCTGGAACACAAAAGGTTTTAAAGAAGCAAGGACTAAACGTCATCCCCATTGGTAAGGAAGCCCAAATTCTGTCCCTAGATACCAAGACCATAAAATGCCTCAAAGGATAAGAGTAGAACTTCAAATTCTAAGAGAAGTGGTTCGAACCACAGATCCAAAGCAGAAATCATCTGGGGTTTGGGTGCTTCCCCCCCTACAATAGGCATACCCCAGGATGAATCAGAATCTCAGGCAGTGGAGCTGTGCATACATATTTTGGGAAAGAGCCTCTGGTCATTCTGAAGTGTGTCCTTAGTAAGGAACTTCCACCTTGGTCTCGAAGGGAAGCTGGAACGTTTTCCCGGAAAAGCAATTGTGCTACACTGTCATTGCCTATTCTCCTCCGGAGCTGGCTCAGTGCCTAAAGCATGACAAATAGGCAAGGCAACAAGGTTGACAAGCAAGACCCTGAGTTTCAGAGGGCCCGGGGTTCAAATACCGTGCTCAAACCAACAGATGACTCTTTCTAAACCCAACAATCAGCGTTTCTTCATCCATAAAGACAAGGTTGAACGATCCCCTTTCCACATTCATTCCGCAAATATTTAGCTAACACCAATCACATTTTAGGTACTTTAGTCGACACTGGGAATGCGACAAAGCCCTAAACAGACATAGGCCCTCCCACATGGGGCTAGCGATCCACTTGGAGAGACACACCATCCATGAGTGAATGAGTATGACTACTGGAGACAGTGATCGGAGTTACACATGTGAAGTGGTGGGAACTGTGAGGGAGGGGGCTACCTGCTTAGATGGTGTCAGGTGACTTGGAGGCCAAGGCCAGAGGGGGCCGTGGCAGCAGAGTTCTACAGGGCCCTCAAGTATGCACCCCCAGAGCGCACGCCCTGATTAATCCCGTTCCGTTGGCGGGGTTATGAACTGAGCGTTTGTGCACCTCTCCACCAAATTCATATGTTGAAGCCCTAATCCCCCATGTGATGGTATTAGGAGGTGGGGCTTTTGGGAGGTGATTAGGTTTGGATGAATTAGGGTAGGGTCCTCATGATGGGATTAGTGCTCTTATAAGAAACCAGAAGAGCTCTCTTTCCTTCTCTCCCTGCCCTGCAAAGACACAGAGAGAAGGCAGCCATCAGCGACAGGGCTCTTAGCAGGGAGTGAATTGGGCGGCACCCTTGACCCTGCCAAGTCCCAGTCTCTGGAACTGTGAGAAATAAATGTCTGTTGTTTAAAGCCACCCAGTCTATGGTACTTTGTTACAGCAGCAAGAGCAGAGTAAGGCATGGACTGGGTGGAATCTAAGATGTGCCTCTTCTGTTTTGTTTTTTAAAGATTTTATTTATTTATTTATCTGAGAGAAAGAGAGAGAGAGCACAAGCAGGGGGAGCGGCAGAGGGAGAGGGAGAGGGAGAAGCAAACTCCCTGCTGAGCCAGGAGCCCGAGATCATGACCAGAGCTGAAGGCAGGTGCTCAGCCAACTGAGAGCCACCCAGGTGTCCCCTAAGATGTGCTTCTAACTAACACAATACAGCAAGTGTGAAAGGACCTGACAGATTGCAATTAAAGTCACTAAGTTGCTGACTCTGAATCAAGGAAAGGAAAGCTCATCCTGCATGGGCCTATCTTATTCAGGCCAGCCTCTCCCCTGCAGGCCTAAAGAAGTCAATAGCCGAATAGTGAGTTGTGGAGCTGAGGGTCCTGATTCTACAGTCAACCCTAAGGAACCACATATTGCCAATAACCTGAACACGGTGGACCCCAGATGAGAACACAGCCCATGTGACACCCTGAATGCAGCTGTGAGATGCTGAGCACAGAACCCAGCCAGGCTGTGCCTGCCCTCTTAACCCATGGGTGCCGTGGTATGACAAATTGCTGGTAATCTGCTACACGGCACAGAACGCTAATACAGAGGGGAAGGAGCCAGCCATGCAAAGAGCAAATGGAAGGACACCCCAGCAGCAAAAACTCTGTGTGGGAAGAGAAAGAGGCTGGCATGTTCTCTAAGTGACTAGAAGGCTACTGTAGTCAGAAAGAGTTGGTTCCGAGAGAGGATCGGGATGAGGCTGCAGTGGTGGCCAACAGCCAGATGGTCTCATCTGCTCTTTGGAGAGCAAACTGGGAAAGGGATAGGTTGGAACCAAGAGACGGGTTACGAGGTCCTTTAGAAACAGTGGGGGTTCAGCGGGGAAGGGAGGCACAATGGAAATGTGCAGAGGGATATGGATGTGAGGCACGTGAAGGGCCCTGCTGATGGCGGGACCGATTCTTGAGGGAGAGATAGGGCTAAAGCGTGCATCTCACTCTCTGACCAGGATGCCACTGAACAAAGGGGAAACACATCTTCTGAGATATGTTACACTCAGGAAGCACATGGAGATATCAGGTACAAAGCTGGCTATCTCCTCTGCAGCTCAGAGGGTGGTTAAAGCTGCAGAAATCAACATGGGCCTTACACCCACACACAGCCACTACCTCACTGTATACACTTTCTGTTCCATCCCCGTAGCTCCAGACTCTGAGAAATGCACTGTTGTTCGTCAGCTACCCAGTCTATACCATATGTTTTTATAGCAGCCGGAAGGGCTCAAATACAGGGGAAAACAAAGAGCTACAAAATATATACAAAGTGAAAAAAGAAACAGAAGTTTTCCTCTCTTAAAATCACATATAAAAGTACTTTAGCTTTCCTACACCAGCATGATAGCATTTTCACACTTAAATTTGTGATGCACTTAAATCTGCGACGCACTCAGCTGAAAAGCCAAATTATCATCAAGTTGTTTTCATTAAAATGACTTTTTAAAAGATTTTATTTATTTATTCACTAGAGACACATAGAGAGAGGCAGAGACACAGGGAGAGGGAGAAGCAGGCTTCTTACAGGTAGCCTGGTGCAGGACTAGATCCTGGGACCCAGGATCATGCCCTGAGCCAAAGGCAGATGCTTAACCGCGGAGCCACCCAGGCGTCCCTCATTAAAGTGATTTTAACATGAGCAATCTTTGCCTTAAAGACTGTTTAGACCACCACTCTGCTGTGTGAAAAAGTTAGAAACGAGGTGTTTGACGATGAAGGTGTCACTACATAACTTATGAAACATCCATAAGATCATTCTACAGCTGTTAAAAAATCATGATTTTGAAGAATATTTTAAAACAGGAGAATGTTTATGACACGTTAAGCTAAAAGCATATACAGTTATAAAGCACAATTCAAAATTTGTAGGACTACATGTATGGATTTCCATACTGGGGAAATGCAACATTTATGGCATAAAAAACAGACCAAAAAAATTACAAGGAAGTAGTAACAGTGGTTATCAAATTATTATTATTATTTTTAAAGATTTTATTTATTTATTCGAGAGAGAGAGAGAGAGAGAGAGAGAGAGAGAGAGAGGCAGAGACACAGGCAGAGGGAGAAGCAGGCTCCATGCAGGAAGCCCGATGTGGGACTCGATCCCGGGACTCTAGGATCACACCCTGGGCTGAAGGCAGGCACTAAACCGCTGAGCCACCCAGGGAACCCTGGTTATCAAATTATAAGTAATTTTAATTTTTGTCACACTTGTCTCCACACATTTTGTTAAGTGGACAAATAATATCTTTGTCGTAGAGGAAAAAATATATATATTCTTCTGGGGCTCCTGGGTGGCTCAGTTTGTTAAGCGTCTGCCTTCAGCTCAGGTCATGATCTCTGGTCCTGGGATCGAGCCCCACATCGGGCTCCCTACTGAGTGGGGAGTCTGCTCCTCCCTCTTCTTCTGCTCCTCCCCACAGCTCATGCTTATGCTCTCTCTCTCTCAAATAAATGAATGAAATCTTTAATATATATATATATATATATATATATATATATATATATATATATATTCTCTTTAAAAAATGACCCACTGACAGGTCATTGGCATCTTAGTCTTACCCGACCCTTCTCTTTCTTATGTTCTTGATGAAGAACTTGAACTCGGGCGGTCCACTTGCTTTCCTACAAAACCATAAAATAAGAGTCATTTATGTATAACGGTCACTATAAAATCTACTTGAAACAGAAGCTTCCTTTTAATGGGTACCTATGCAACCCAACTACCTTCTTGGTAAAATATTAGCAGGCATTTTTTTTATTTTTTTATTTTATTTTATTTTTTTTAATTTTTATTTATTTATGATAGTCACAGAGAGAGAGAGAGGCAGAGACACAGGCAGAGGGAGAAGCAGGCTCCATGCACCGGGAGCCTGATGTGGGATTCGATCCCGGGTCTCCAGGATCGCGCCCCGGGCCAAAGGCAGGCGCCAAACCGCTGCGCCACCCAGGGATCCCAGCAGGCATTTTTTTTAGACGATAAAGACTCAAACATGTTTGAACACATTTGCATTTGGTTTTAATCTTAACCTCTACAGCAAGGGGTCATCACACATTTTCTGCAAAGGGGCTAATAGTAAATACTACTTAGGCTCCAGGGGCCCCAGGACACAGTCACTCCTATTAGCAGCAGGAGAACATCCGTAGATAGTACAAAAATGAACAGGCATGGCTGTGTTCCAATAAAATACTATTTTTAAAAATATAAATTGGTTAATGTGCCAATTTAAGGAGCTGAAAGGCAATACTGAGGTTTCTAAGACCTTGGGTTCTGAACCAACAACACAGGTCATGGGAAGGAAATAAGAAATCTAGGTGGGATCTTGGGATTTCATAACTGGGCCCTTCAGTTCCTGAAGGATAAGCTTTTGGAGAGCACTGTCAACAGTTCAGTACAGACACAATTCCTGGTCCCCTACCATGGGCCAGGGACCTTGCTGGGCTGCCGTGGCCGGTTGGGGGGGCACTTAGGGGACGAGCTCTGCCCTGCACAGGAGGAAAGAGAAGCTGACAATACAGAGTTTCCCTATAATGTGTATGTGAGCAGTTCTTGCTTGGGGGCACTAGAGAAATGCAAGGCCTTGGAGAACTCTCTAGAGCTGAAGAGCTATTGCCCCAGCTGAAGGAGTAGGCCACAGGGGCAAAAGCAGAATGCAGAAAGCTGTGTTCTGGGAACCATGAGCTGTTGGTGCAGCTGGAACCATCAAGGTAAAGCCAAGAATGGTGGGGGTTGGGCACAGGGCCCAGATCCTCAGGGACTCTGGTTACTGGTTAAGGATTCTAGACTTGGGGGTACCCTGGGTGGCTCAGTGGTTCAGTGTCTGCCTTTGGCTCAGGTCATGATCCCAGGGTCCTGGGATTGAGTCCTGCATCCGGCTCCCCTTAGGGAGCCTGCTTCTCCCTCTGCCTATGTCTCTGCCTCTCTCTCTCTCTGTCTCTCATGAATAAATAAATTTAAAAATCTTAAAAAAAAAAAAAAGGATTGCAGACTTGGTTCTGTGCAGAATAGGGAGCCATGGGAGGGTAAGACAGGACAGTGACATGGTCAGCCTGGCTGCGAGGTAGAAAGTAGACTGGGGGGAGGGAGGCAAGACATGGACCACAAAATAAGCATCAGGGACAGTCGTCCTAATTTCAAAAACACGCGTACTTTTTGAAATGTTATTGTTTTTTAAAATATTTATTTAAAAGATTTTATTTATTTATTTATTTATGAGAGATACAGAGAGAGAGGCAGAGACATAGGCAGAGGGAGAAGCAGGCTCCCTGTGGGGAGCCTGATGCAGGACTCGATCCCAGGATCCAGGGATCATACCCTGAGCCAAAGGCAGACATTCAACCACTGAGCCACACAGGTACCCTTGTTATTGTTTTCTTTAAACAAAATTTTGAATTCATAAACTTTGATCTCTATTTGTTTCCTGGTAAAAAAACAATGTTCTCCTAACTAGTATGACAAAAATTGCCAAAATGACAGCTGTGCTGATTACAGAGGGCCACTATCATTAGGTTTGATAAATGACAAAGACCTTCAGGACACCAGTGTAGCCATATATCTAAGCTCTGGAAATAAAGTTAGTTCTTCCATATGCCTTTCTGTGCCTTTTGAAAGTGGGACCTACACCTGAAATATGAAAAATAAGCTCTAAGGTAATCCCAAGCAATTCAAGTTGATACTAGGTTAGCAAAAACATGAAACAATTTTGCCAACTGTTCTATATCTATATCTCTTAGTCAATCAACAAGCATCTAATGAACACCTATTATTATGTATTAAGACATAAGAAGAAAAGAATTAGCTCCTTGGTCAGCGAAAGAGACAAACCCTTTCTCTGTAGGTAATGCTTGCTGCAAACTGCTTCACTAATTAAAACCAGGCCCCTGGGGTGCCTGGGTGGCTCAGTGGGTTAAGCAGCTGCCTGCAGCTCAGGTCATGATCTTGGGAATCTTGGGATTGAGCCTCGAATTGGTCTTCCTGCTCAGCGGGGTGTATGCTTCTCCCTCTCACTCTGCTGCTCCCCCTGCTTGTGCGCACACACACTCTCTCTCTCTGATAAATAAAATCTTAAAAATATAATAAATAAATAAATAAATAAATAAATAAATAAATAAATAAGGCCCCTTCCTTCAGTGATTGCCTGCTGGTACATACCTGACTATCGAGGAGTTGCATCACATTTTGGAAATCCTGGGGATACTGAGGACGCTCTTCTTTAAATTCATGTGCATCCTTTAACGTGCCTATGTTGGACTTGATCTGCATGTTGGACTTCTGGATTTCTGACAGTTGCTAGAAAAGAAGATGCAAACCCACTGGTACAGATGTTTATATTTTTATTTATTTTTTAAAGAATTCATTTATTTGAGAGAAAGAGCAGGAGGAAGGGGCAAAGGCAGAGAGAGAAGCAGACTCCCTGCTGAACGGGGAGTCCGACGACCTGGGACTCAATCCTAGGACCTCGGATCATGACCTGAGCCGAAGGCAGATGATTAACTGAGCCACCAGGGCGCTCCCAGATATTTACACTTTAATAAGATGAAACAGAGAATAAAGTTGGAAACACTATAGCCATTTTTAAATCAGACTCTCCTTCTAGATGCTACTTGCACTTCTCCACTTCTCTCACCTAATGGTTTTCCAATTTTCTTCCTCCTGCTTTCCAGTTTCTTCCAGTAGAATATGCATGCAGGGTGAAAAAGGGAAAGGAAAACCTGACTTTCTAACCTTATACAATGGGTCTTACATTTTCCAATGGGCACATAGCAGTTGTCAGAAACAGAGGGATGGGGTGCAGCTGACTCTTGTGAGAATTTAGTGCCAAGGCCAGCACCTATCCAGTAACTGTGTCCCAAAATACATTAGGGCCATGGTGTTTTAACTCTACCTTTTGCTTATTATGTTATTCGCAAAGTTACCAGCAGTGAAAACCCTCAGAAGGAAATATGTTAACTGAAAAAACAAAAGGGTGAGGAGCATAGTTTGCCTGCCTAAGTCTGGGATGAACACAGCAACTGCTTTCAAAGAGTAGAGTATGAAAAGGGGAGAGGGGGTGACTTTTCAGTGTAGAAACCTAACAAACACTACCTCAGCCAAGTGATCAAGGTCAGCACCAACAATCATAAATCCAGGGGCATCTGGGTGGCTCAGCTGGTTAGGAGTCTGCCTTCAGCTCAGGTTCTGATCCCAGGGTCCTGGGATCGAGTCCTGCATCTGGATCCCTGCTTGGCAGGGAGCCTGCTTCTCCCTCTGCCCCTCCCTCGTGTTCTTGCTCTCTCTCTCAAATAAATAAATAAAATCTTTAAAATATATATATATATATATATATATATATATATATATATATATATATTAAGAAATTTAAAAGAAAAAACAATCATAAATCATGAAGACAGTATTACCCCTAATATGACATGATGAAAACTGTATTTTATCTCTGAGGATTTTGTCCCCCAAACCCATAAACCCAGTCTAAGCACGAGAAGACTACCAGATAAATTCCAGTAGACAGGGATCCTACTGACAAGTACTCCTCAAAATTGTCCAGGTCACTGAAAACGAGTTGGAGAAACTGTCTCAGACAAGAGCCTGAGACGGACAACTAAATATAATGTATCCTGGACAGGATCCTGGAGCAGAAAAGTGACATTAGCTAAAAGCTAAAGATGTTGGACTAGAGTATGGAGTTTAATACTAATTAATATATCAGTATTGGCTCATCAACTCAACAAATGTACCTTATTCATTTAGGATGTCAGTAATATGGAAAACTGTACAGGGGTAAGAGAGGGGGGTTTCTTTTTTTTAATTTTTATTTATTTATGATAGTCACACAGAGAGAGAGAGAGAGGCAGAGACACAGGCAGAGGGAGAAGCAGGCTCCATGCATCAGGAGCCGGATGTGGGATTCGATCCCGGGTCTCCAGGATCGCGCCCTGGGCCAAAGGCAGGCGCCAAACCGCTGTGCCACCCAGGGATCCCGAGAGGGGGATTTCTATGACATTTTCTGTGCTCAATTTTTCTGTAAATCTAACTATTCTAAAAAATGAAGTCGGGGCGCCTGGGTGGCTCAATCGTTTAAGTGTCTGCCTTTGGTTTGGGTCATGATCTCCAGGTCCCAGGATTGAGCCCCAAGTCAGGCTCCTTGCTCAATGGGGAATCTGCTTCTCTCTCTCTCTCTCTCTCTCTCTTGCTCCCTCTCTCTCCCTCTGCCTCTCTCCACTGCTTGTTCTCTCTCTCTCTCTCTCTTTCAAATAAATTGATAAAATGTTTTTTAAAAAATGAAGTCTAGGGAATCCCTGGGTGGCTCAGCGGTATAGCGCCTGCCTTTGGCCAAGGGCGTGATCCTGGAGTCCCGGGATCAAGTCCCACATCGGGCTCCCTGCGTGGAGCCTGCTTCTCTCTCTGCCTGCGTCTCTGCCTCTCTGTGTCTTTCATGAATAAATAAAATCTTCAAAAAATGAAGTCTATTATAAATAATTTAAAAAACCATCTATAGCTAAAAAGGGCAAACAATCCACATGTGATCACCTGAGAAACGGACAAGTGAAACACGACATGCAGGCAATGGGACATCAGGTGGCAATGACAAAGGCGTGAGAGAGTGGGACTTATACATTCCCACAACATGGATACAACTTGAAAACACTAGACTAACTGGGAGCAGCTGCTCACCAAACATCACAAATTGTATGACTCAATTCGTATGAAATGTCCACAACAGGCAGATCCACAGAGGCAGGAAGTAGATCTGTGCTTGCCAGTAGCTCGAGGGAGAGAGTGCCAGTGGGCACAGGATTTCTTCCCTGGGTGATGAAATGCTCGGAAATGACTGTGAGGATGGTTGCACAACTCTGTAAACATACTAAAAACCATTGATTTTTTTTTTTTTTTTTTTTTTAGGTGGGAGAGGGCCAGAGACAGACTCTTAAGAGGGCCGCATGCCCAGTGCGGAGCCTTAAGTGGGGTGCAATTTTTATGTGTCGTGAAATATTCTTAGGACTTTTTTCAATCATTTAGGAATATTAAAACCTTTCTTAGCTCGCTGGCCATACAAAAAGAAGTAGTATGCCAGATTCAGTTCACAGGGTGTGGTTTGCCAAACCCTGTCCAAAAGTTCAAGGCGTTTTAGAGAAGGCTCTTAGCCATATTCCAAAAATATCCCTCCATTCTAGTTTACAGAGCTTGTCCCCTAGAGGGAGCTCAAGGATCTTGCGTCTTTTCCCCAAGAGTGACTCCGGACTGAACTGCCCATCCAGCTCAAGTAATTCTTATCTGGAAGACAATGGCCAGTGTCACAGAGCTTAAGGTTCCAGCCCAGCGAGGCATGTCTCTGTCAATGCATGTGACCAGGGCAGTATGGATCAAGGTTTCTCCCACAGGGGATGGTGGCTCAGTTAGCCACATCCAGCTTGTTCAGTCCTCTTCATCAGCCAGGCCTGGGGTCAGGAAGGGAATTGGTAAAAGGTTCTACTTCTGTCTTTCTGGATTGTCCACTCGGTGAACTGTGTCAACCTTTCCAGAAAGTTCCTTTGGAACTTTGAAAGCTTCAAAACTCAGGGAGAGGTTTATGGTTTATGAGTATCAAGTTCTAACCAGCTAAGGAAAGAGAGACCCTCTAGTATGATCTGAGCAAAGGTACCAAACATAACAACTGCTCTTTTTTTTTTTTAAGATTTTTTTTTTTTTTTTAAGTAATCTCTATACCCAATGTGGGGCTCGAGCTCACAACCCTGAGATCAAGGGTCCCATGTTCCACAACTGAGCTAGCCAGGTGCCCCTCAAATGTACCAAGTGTTCTGGACACACATTTGGGGACAAAGCTCCCATTCTCAAAGATGCGACTTTTGCTGACTTGCTCTGTCTTCTGTATGTCTTGTGCTCCTTCAGGACTCTCAGAAGGAGGGGTGTCTGGGCACAATAAAGTAATTTCTAGATCCACTAGCCATCATGCCATTCTAACACCACCTCTCAAGGCAACAACCCTACCAATACTATGAAGACCTCTTGGCTTAATACTCACATATTCTAATGCCGAATTCTTGGAAGTCAATTCTTTAAACTCTTTCATAAACATTTCCTTGACTTTTTCCATTTCACTAACTAGTTTCTCCTTTTCTTCTTCTTTCCATCTATCAAATAGCTTCAGAAATTCTTCCTCTTTTGTTTTCTGCATTTCATATTCCTGAAATTATTTTAATGCATGGGTTTAAAAGTTCTCATATGAAGCAAACATGCAAAATTTTAAATAAATGGACACAGTTTTGCCCTCCAATGTGGCAGCTAGTATTTCTTGTATCAGTTAGGTTTGCAATCACACTTCATATCATGGCAATGCCCACAGTCATTTTTCCAAACCCAAAACAGCACACAGCATCCTTTTGTCCTTAACATTTCTTAAAATACAAACACAGAGGCCCAAAATCTCAAGAGTTCTATGATCTATAAACCTGTATAGTAGATGTGCAATAATATGTAAAATGTAAACATACTTTAAAAGAAAATGTCTATTGAACAGTAGGACCATTCACAATATTGTATCACTTTGGATAGAGTAGCCCCACCTCACCCCTCAAAAACACAAATTTATATTTATACAAGCTAAATTCAAGGTCCAGTCAATCAGCTTTGATTTCTCAATAACCTTCACTTTTTGGTTTTTTACCTAACTGGAGTAGGTAAATAAATTCAATCTGACAAACATACAGAACACTGCACCCAACGACACCAAAACACACATTCTTTTTAAATGCACATGAAAGATTCACCTATGTTTGGTCATAAAAGATTCTCTATAAATTTTAAAAGACTGAAATCATGCTAAGTGTATTCCCAACCACAGTGGAATGAAGCCAGAAATCAATAACAGAAGAAAAACTGGAAAATTCATGAATACATGAAAATTAAGCAATGTACTCTTAAGCAACCAAGGGGCCAAAGAAAAGGTCACTAGGGAAGTTAGAAAATACTTGGAGGGGAATGAAAATTAAAACACAACATACCAGGAAAAAAAAAAAGGAAAGCCAAAGCAGTGGTCATAGGGAAATTTATAGCTATAAATGCCTACACTAAAAAAAAAAAAAAAAAAAAAAAAAATCTCAAGAGACAAAGAAGATTATCTTAAGCCAATCATCAAGACGATACAGGAATTACAAATATTTATGTGTCCAGATTGCAGCACCCAAATTTATAAAGTATATACCAATAAAACAAAAAGGAGATATAGATAAAGACAGCAACACAGTAATAGTAGGGGACTTTAATACTCTACCCTCAATGATGTATAGGTCATCCTGACACAAACAGGATTTGGACAACACTATATACCAAATGGACCCAACAGACATATACTATCCAACAGCAGCAGAATGCACATTCTTCTCAGTGCACATGGAACATTCTCCAATATAGATTATACATTAGGGTCACAAAACAAGTCTTTATAAATTCAAGAAGACTGAAATTATATCAAGTATCTTTTCTGACCACATTGTATAAAACTCAGTAGAAATCAGTAATAGGGGGAAAATTGGAAAATTTACAAATGCATAAAAACTAAACAATACACTCCTGAACAATCAATGGATCAAAGAAGGAATCAAAAGGGAAGTAAAAATAACTCTGGATTAATGAAAATGGAAACATATATACCAAATTGTATGGGATGCAGTAAAAGCAGTTCAAAGAGGAAAGTTTACAGTTAAAAATGCCAACATTAGGAAAAAAGGAAAGATCTTAAATAAACAATCTAACTTTATACTTCAAGATCTAGAAAAAAAGAACTAAGCTCAAAGTTAGCAGGATGAAGGAAATATAAAGATTAGAGCAGAAAGGGGATCCCTGGGTGGCTCAGCGGTTTGGCCCCTGCCTCTGGCCCAGGGTGTGATCTTGGAGTCCTGGGATCAGGTCCCACATCAGGCTCCCTGCATGGAGCCTGCTTCTCCCTCTGCCTGTGTCTCTGTCTCTCTCTCTGTGTCTCTCATGAATAAATAAAATCTTTTTAAAAAAAAGATTAGAGCAGAAAAATAAAAATAGAGAACAGAAAAACAATAGAAAAGGTGAACAAAACTAAGAGTTGGGTTTTTTAAAGATAAACAAAATTGACGAACTTTTAGTAGACCACCCAAAAATGGAAAAAGGACTCAAATAAATTATAAATGAAAAGAGGACACATTACAACTGATACTACAGAATTACAAGGATCATTAATAGCCTACTGTGCACAATTATATGCCAATAAACTGGACACTCTCAAAGAAATGGATAAATTCCTAGAAACATGTAACCTACCAAGACTGAATCATGGAAACAACAGAAAGTCTGAACAGACCAATAATGAATAAGGGCATTGAAGCACCAATCAAACACCTCCCAATAAAGAAAAGTCCAAGACCAGATGGCTTCACTGGTGAATTCCATCAAACATTTCAAAGGAATTCATACCAGTCCTTCCCATCACACCACCCTTCCAGAACTCAGTAGCCTACCTTAGAGAACCTGACAGCATGGGCGTGCTGTGCAGCCTCCAGCTGAGACTTGGTGAGCTGTAGCTGTTCCTTCAGCATGTCAATCTCACTCTGGAGCTTATCAGTCTGTGCCTTCTTCTTATACTCTGTTGCAACAGAAATATGTTATTAAAATACCACCTCCTCTGAAACCTAACTAAAAATTTACAGGGTACAGTCTCATTGATAAGACAAAAACAAAGGAAAGTGCTCTGACTTGGGATATTATTACTTTTTCAGGCCACACAAGCCAATTACTTGCAGCCCTTCATGTTATAGGGTGCTGAATTACTTGTAGTAGATTCTTTCAGCCACTGTGTTGGATTATCCTTCAGAGACAGTGCGAGAGCCCATTCAGGGAACAATAAGGATGACAAGGAATAATCCTGGGCTCCTCTTGGAGATGCCAGTCTCAATGAGAGAAGGGAAGCAAGTTTCTGCTGCAGGTACCACCATACTGGAAATTTCTATGGTCACCAACCTTCTGGCTCCCACCACACTCTCCTGAGAACCCCATCAGTGCTAAGACAAGCAGAGGCTGGCAATCAAAATGCAAACTGGGGCCATAAGCTGTCCATAGGGCCAAAACGAGGTACCAAAAGGTTGTAAAAAGGAAGCAACAAGTGAAAGAGAAGGTACTTATGTACATGTACTTACATGAAGATGTGCACATGACTGAATGGATATACATGTGTCTGTGAGTGTAGACATGAAAGGTATGGAAACCAAAGTAGAAAGTCAGAATCTCAAAGATGACCTGAAGAAATAATACTCATTTCAGAGTCTGAAATACTTTCTGAAACGAGTATGAGATAGAATAAGATACTGAAACAGAAGAGAAAGAAGGTCAGTTTCACACTGAAGAATGGTAGGTTAATTAAAATATTTAATCTTCCCAATTTCTCCAACATACTGCTAAATTGTATAATGGTCCATGATTTACAAATGAAATTTTCGGCTGTTCATACTGTTTATACAAAGCTTTAGCTGTTTCCTAACTAAATCTGTTTGTCTGAAATAGGCAGGGATGGAAGCAGACTGGCCCAAAAAGGAGGCTAAAGCAAGCTAGGAGCACACTTGTTGAGATGCTAAAAGCATTTAAACCGTAATGAGAATTTCTGTGGGTTACTGTTCTGTAGGCAATCTGCAGAAAGCTTTGATCTGAGAAGACCTGGCCATTTTTGTTTGTTTACATTAAGAATATTTACATAACAAGAAACCCGGTTCCTGGAGAAGCACTGAACCCCTTGCCCTCTCTTAATTTCCCCCTCTATACATGGTTAATTCACATCAGCACCCAAATACATCTTCCTATCTCCCACATCAAAGGAAACAAAAATTTTGCCTTGGTCCCACATTTCCCTCCAGACAATGCCTCGTGTCTCTGCTGCCCTTCCCCACAAATGGTACTTAAGTAAATATGTAGAATGTGACCCCTTGCTCACCTGGTTCTCAGCTTAGCTCACTCCCTTTGGGCTTTTGTTCCCACCAACCCACAGAAGCGGTCATGTCAAGGTCAGCAGCAGCAGCCATCGTGACAGCAAGAATCAATTCTCGGTCCTCATCTTACTCTGTGCCTCAGGGAACATTCGGGAAACTGGATACTGCCTGCCTTCTGGAAACACTTGTTTCCCTTGGTTTCCATGCCAACACACTCCCCAGGTCTCCCTTCTGCCTCCATGACTATTTCTCACTGCCCTTGGCTGCTCCTCGCGTTGGGAGAGCCGCAGGGCTGGCTCTCGCCGTCTTCCCCTCTCTAGGTGAGCTCATTCAGCCCAGCTCTGCTAAGGACTTCTGGGTTTAGATCTCCAACCTGGGCCTCTACCTTGACCTCCAGATCCCCTGCACCTCCACTTGGATGGTGACAGTATTGGGACTCAAGTTTACCCTGACCAAAACAAACCCTCTGCCCCTAGGTCCCCATCTCAGGAGCTATCACTGCCATTCACCCAAACGTGTAAGACAAAAAACCCAGGATTGGCTTTCTTTATCTCCTTGCTCTCGTGCAGACTCACACCTCTGCGAGCTCCATGTGCCATGCGTCCTGTCCATCCTCACTTCTCTAGTCTTCCCTGGTACCGTCTCCATCCCACTGCCATGTCACTCACCTGGGCTACTCTGGCAGCCTCCCTCATTCTTCCACCTGCTTCCACCACTGCCGCCGCACTCTCCACCAGCAGCTGCCCATATTCCCAGCCTTTGAAGGTCCCAGGTGACCCGACCCCCTCCCCTCCAAAGCCCTGTACGCTACTGCTTTGCACACTACTGCCTTGTTCATTCTACTCCACTAACCTTCTGTGCGTTCCTCAAACACACCATGCTGCCCACCCCCACCAAACGATCAGAGCTGCCCCTGCCTGGGATATTCACTTCCCAGACTTTCCCCACGCTGGGACCTCCACGTCATTCCCATCTCTGATCCAACAGCATTTCCTCAGTGAAGCCTTTGCTGACTACCTCCAGCCCATTCTTTCTATTTTATTTTCTTTGTGGCCTCTGCCAGCATTTGAAAAGAACTACTCATTTGTTTGTTGAAGTGCGTCTCCTCCGCCCCTCCTAGCAGATCGTAAGACTCCAGAGGGCAGGACTTGGTCTAGTTCGCTTGCACCCAAATCCCCCGGCCTGGTGCTGTGCATGGCACCTAGTAGGGGCTCAGTATTTATTTAATGAATGAACAAAAACTATGATACTTTCTTTTAAAAGGGTCAAGAGATGCATTGGACTATGTCTTACTGAAAGGAGAAAAAGGTACCAAAGGGAAGACAGCTCTTTGAAGTTGAGCCCATGACTTACCGAGGTGAGAATCTTCAGGGTGGCGCCGCTGGATGTGACTTTGTAGAAAAGCTTGGTTCATAAAGGCCTTGTCACAAAAATGGCACTGGAAAGGAGACAGCAACAAATCCAAGTGTCTATAATGAGTCTGTAATGAGTCCTTCCACCTAAGTTTAATTTTTTAAAAAGATTTTTATTTATTTATTTATTTGAGGAAGAGTGAGCATGAGCAGGGGGGAAGGAAAGAGGGAGAGGGAGAAACAGGCTCCTCACTGAGCAGGGAGCACGTTGCAGGGCTTGGTCCCAGGACCCTGGGATCATGGTCTGAGCTGAAGGCAGATGCTTAACCACCTGAGCCACCCAGGTGCCCCTCACCTAAGTTCAATTAAAATTGGGATACCTAAGGCACCACCTCCTCTTGGGAATTCTTCCCCCAAAGATACCACCCTACCAGGGAATACTAAAAACAGGACTAAAAAGACTACTATAAACCAGGGTGTTCTCCCCAAACTGAGCACAAGGCAGTGAAAACCATCTCTTGACACCTAAAGTAGCCCATTCCGGTGCCTGCAGGAACCCTGATGCTGTTCCCGTTAGACAGACGGTTCCCAGCCTGTCACCAACTTGTCTGGGACACTCTAGCCACATCAGTCTTCTTTCTGTCCCACAAGCAGGCTAATTTCAGCCTCTACATCAGCTCATGCCCCACCTGGATCTTTCTCAGACTTTCCCCCCTTGGCTCCTGCCTGACATTCAGGAGTTGCTCAGCGAGCATCTTCCACACTGGGGAGGAAAGGCATGTTCTCCACAAGACCTTCACGGGTGGTCTTCCTGCCAGTCCCTGTCCCGGCACACTGCCTTATTTTCAACATTGCACATCTCACCAGTTACTATTTCCACATTTATATACTTCACTTGTTCACCATCTCCTGCCCAATGCCTCCTGGTTCCAGAATGTCATATTCCTGACAGCATGGGCTCTTGCCTATCTTATTCAGAGCATTTGCCCTAGAGTCCAGCATTAATAAATGACCACATGCTTAGAAATGTTTAGCCTCCTAAAATGAATTTCACTGAAAAAATAATCAGTCTTACCAATATCTCCATTTTCCACTTTAATACTGATTCAAATTTTAAGCAAAAATTCAACTTGCTTCATCTATACCTTTGTCCCTGGATCACGCTGAATTAAACCCTGGATGTTATGTATTTTCATTTGTTAGTATATTTTCATTTGTTACAATCTATCTCTAAAAGGACTTACTTTGAACACAATCCTAATATTATTAGTCCACCTTTTAAAATGTGAAAATTGCTTAATAACAACACATTAAAAATTATTTGTTTCCAATATTTCACACACTTAGAAAAAAATTTTAGTTTATTTGGAGTCAGGATCCAAATAAGCCCAAATCCTGCAACTGCTCATCATGTCTCTCAACTCTTTTTACATCTATAGATTGCCCTGCATCTCTCTTTTTCCTTGCAATTCATTTGCCAAAGAAACTGACCTTGTGTCCTGCAGTTTCACCCAGTTTGGATTTGGTGGTTTCTTTTTTTTTTTTTTTTTTTTTTTTTTTATGATAGTCACAGAGAGAGAGAGAGAGAGAGAGGCAGAGACACAGGCAGAGGGAGAAGCAGGCTCCATGCACCGGGAGCCCGACGTGGGATTCGATCCCGGGTCTCCAAGATCGCGCCCTGGGCCAAAGACAGGCGCTAAACTGCTGCGCCACCCAGGGACCCCGGATTTGGTGGTTTCATTTCCATTGTGCTATTAATGTGTTCTACTCATGCACAACATTGCCTTACTTTGAATCAGTATACCTACATCACAAGATCAGGTTGTCTTTCCCAGAAAACCAACAGTATGGCATATATCTTGGCATTGCATTTCAGGGAATCTTTGACCTATCTTTCCAGCCTTCTCTGCTGCTTGATGACTGTTGGGTTTCCTTATGGTACATAATGGACTGCCCACGTGACTCAGGTGTCAGTGTGGAGCTATGCACAGCACTGGAGAAAAGAAAGGATGAAGAAACCTAGAATATGTGACTTTTAATTTCTAAAAAATGGAAAATAGATATTTTAACTATTTGAGTAATACAGAAAAGCTATGAGCTCAGGGTAAGAAGGTGTTCCCACTCCATAAAGAATAACCTGACATTTTGACTGCATCAAGATGAAAAACATCTGGGGTGACTCAGTGGTTTAGTCAGTTAAGTGTTTGCCTTCAGCTCTAAGCATAATCTTGGGGTCCTGGGATAGAGCTCCAGATCAGGCTCCCTGCTTAACAGGGAGCCTGCTTCTCCCTCTCCCCCTCTGCCCCAACTCTGGCTCGTGTGCACTCTCTGCACTCTCTCATTCTCTCTCTCAAATAGAATCTTTAAAAATAAAAATTAAAGATGCAAAACTTCTATTTGACAAAAACACCAAAATAAAATTAAAAGACTTCATTCCCAGATATGCAGGTAAGAAGCTTGAAAATTGCCACTCCATCCTTACAATAAGTAAAAAGCTGAAGAGACTAAAAAATCAACAACTCTTCTTGGATCCATAGGAGAGGAGAAGACACAGGGCAAACGAAGCTTGTAGAAACAGACATTGCTCTGGAAGTCTTTGCTAATGTATTACAGCAAGAAAAAGAAGTAACAAATATACAGACTGAGAAGGAAGACACAAAATTTTCCTTGTTTGTAGATGATACTAATGTCTACATAGAAAATAGAATTGACAACAAAAACCCTCTGGTACTAATATCGTTGTACAGCAAAATTGTAGGATATAAGGTTTATATACTATAAAGTCAACTGTTTTCCTATATTCTGGTAATGAAAAAGTGGAATTTGAAATTCAAAACACACCACCGTTTACATTAGTACCCCCAAAAATGAGTTCTTAGGTATGAATCCAACAAAATATGTACAAGATCTATATAGGGATGCCTCGGTGGCTCGGTGGTTGAGCATCTGCCTTTGGCTCAGGATAGATCCTGGTCCAGAATCAAGTCCCGCATCAGGCTCCCCTCAAGGAGCCTGCTTCTTCCTCTGCCTATGTCTCTGCCTCTCTTTCTATGTCTCTCATGAATAAAATAAATAAAATCTAAAAAAAAAAAAGATCTATATGAAGAAAGCTTCAAAGTTCTGAAGAACAAATCAAGAAGAACTAAGTAAGTGACTATCCATCCATGTTAATGGATATGAGGACTCAATATTGTCAAGATGTCAATTCTCCCTAACTTGATCTATGGATTCAATGCAATCCCAATCCAAATCCCAGCCAGTGATTCGTGAATAGCAACCAACCGATTCTAAAGTTTGTTAAAAGACCCAGAATAGCTCACATGGTATTGAAGGAGACAGGCAAAATTGGAGGACTGATGCTTCTCAATTTTAAGACTCACTACATAAAGCTATAGTAGTCAAGACAGTGTGGTATCATCTAAAGAACAGACAGACAGGGCAGCCCCAGTGGCCCAGCGGTTCAGTGCTGCCTTCGGCCCCGGGGTGTGATCCTGGAGACCCGGGATTGAGTCCCACGTTGGGCTCCCTGCATGGAGCCTGCTTCTCTCTCTGCCTGTGTCTCTGCCTCTGCCTCTCTCTCTCTCTCTCTCTCTCTCTCTCTGTGTGTGTCTGTCATGAATCAATCAATCAATCAATCTTTAAAAAAAAAAAAGAACAGACAGAAACACTGGGGCAGAAGACAGAGCCCAGAAACAAGCCCATATAAATATCATCACCTGAATTTTGAGAAAGAAGCAAAAACAATACAACGAAACAAAGATAATTTCTTCAACTATGTCCAGCCCTGGAACAAGTGGACATCCACATGCAAAAAAGAACGCCCATACAGAGTTCATATCCTTCACAAAATCTAACTCAAAATGGATCAAAGACCTAAATGTAAAATATAAGTGGATCACAGACCTATAAAACTCCTAAAAAATTACATAGAAGAAAACCTTGATGGCCGTAGTAATGCCTTTTTAGATACAACACGAAAGGCACAATCCATGAAATAAATAATTGATAAGCAGGACTTCATTAAAATTCAGAACTTCTGCAAAAGACAATGTGAAGAAAACGAGAAAACACCCACAGACTGGGAGAAAACATGCAAAACACATGACTGATAAAGAGCTGTTATCTAAAATATATAAAGAACTCTTAAAACTCAACTAAAAGAAAACAAACAACTAAAACACAGATGTTCTTCAGTAGGTGAACAAATAAACAAACTGTGGTCCATCTAGACATTGGGATATTATTCAACACTTAAAAGGAAGAAGCTATCAAGTCAGGAAAAGACATGGAAAAACATTAAGTGCATATTACTAAAGAAAATAAATCAATCTGAAAAGGCTACATCCTGAGTGATTCCAACTATATGACATTCTGGAAAAAGCAAAATGACAGACAGTAAAAACAGTGGTTGCCAGAGGTTGGATGGGGATGCAGAGAACGAATTAGGTCATAGCATTATCAGATGCATATTTTATTTAATTTTTTAAAAGATTTTATTTATTTATTCATGAGAGACACAGGGAGAGGCAGAGACATAGGCAGAGGAAGAAGCAGGCTCCATGCAGGGAGCCCAATGCGGGACTCGGGACTCGATCCTGGGACTCCAGTTTCACGCCCTGAGCCAAAGGCAGACGCTCAACCACTGAGCCACCCAAGGCGTCCCTCAGATGCATATTTTAATCTATGTCTCTCTAACTGCAAAATGCATGCTTTTTCTTCCCCCAACACTCATCTCCAGTTCTGAGACACCAAAAAACTGCAACCAGGGTCAGAAATTCACTGACAGATTCCAAAATCTGCCCATGGTGCTAAAGCATAGAGAGGAATCTAAGTCTTCCAGCTATGAAAACAAAAGGTCGTCTTGGAATGAGTCTAAGTTCTGTTATGATCCACTGGTGTTTTTAAATTTTTAATTAAAATAAATAATTGGAGGGATGCCTGGGTGGCTCAGTGGTTGAGTGTCTGCCTTCGGCTTAGGGCGATCCCAGAGTCCCAGGATCCAGTCTCATACCAGGCTCCCTGCGGAAAGACTGCCTCTCCCTCTGCCTGTGTCTCTGCCTCTCTCTCCATGTCTTTCATAAATAAATACAATCTTTAAAAAATATATAAAAAATAATTTGATAGCCAAATCTTTAGTATAGATTTGCCTTTACACATGGCCACAATATTTTCTCAGCTGTTGGAGGTCTCTATTTAAACACAAATTCATGGGATGCCTGGGTGGCTGAGTCGGTTAAGCATCTGCCTTCGACTCAGGGCATGATCCAGAAGGTCCTGGGATTGAGCTCCACATCAGGCTCCCTGCTTAGTGGGGAGCCTGCTTTGCCCTCTCCCTCTGCTCCTCTTCCCTGCTTGTGCTTGCTCTCTCTCTCTATCCCATGCTCTCTCTCAAATAGATACAATCTTTAAAAAAAAAAAACACACAAACTGATGACTGTAGGCTAAAGTCAAGTAGCTATTTCAACAAAACCAAGGGTCTTCCTGTAAATTTTATGATAGGCCGAATATCCCTAAACACAGGAACCTGAAGTTGAAATAATCGTAACACCTTGGAATCCCAGCTAGCTTATGCATCAACTTTTCTTAGTAGCAGTCTTGACTTCCCGTGTCTGAATCACTGATTCTTGCAGCATCAGCACTGCAACCACTATTTAGCTCCTAGGAAAGGTGTGAGGATTCACATACATCACAGGTAGTCACAGCTCACTATCAAGAAGCCACTGTGGAAATCAACATGCACACATCAGATGCTGTTGGCTGACTTCCTTATGCCACACATGCATTATCTCATAGAATTCCCAGAATAGTCCTAGAAGTTACCTACTACTAATGTTCTCATTAGTAAGAGAACATTACTACATGTTCTCTTGGCGTTAAGTGACTAGGCGTTAAGTGACTTGCATAGTAGAATAGTTAGGATTCAAACCCATGCAGTCTAACTCTGGAATTGTCTCCCTAAAGGGCTCACACTGCTCAGAGACTCCACGAAGACATAATGGCAAGCCACCAAAGACTCGGCTAAATAGGAAAAAGTGGTCCGGTCACTTCTATCTTTTCACGGTCACACCTACGCACACTATACACCTGGTCATTCTGAGTCTGCTGAGTGGCCAAGTTGGCAGGTATCACTCATTTCATAAAATCGAGCCATTATCTTTATTCACACACATCATTCATACTTGAAAATCTTTATAACAGCTATTTCTATGGTAACCAAAAGAATGAAAAAATGTTCATAAACATAAAACTTCTGTATGTTTTGGTTTTAATATTTTACCGATTACCACCAATGCTAAAATTTTTTTTAAAAGATTTTATTTATTCATTCGTGAGAAACACAGAGAGAGAGGCAGACATAGACAGAGGGAGAAGCAGGCTCCTCTAAAGAGCCAGATGCGGAACTCCATCCCCGGACAGGGACCACGTCCTAAGCCAAAGGCAGATGTTCAACCACTGAGCCACCCAGGCATCCCTAAACTATTTTTTTTTTTTGAAGATTCATTTATTTATTTTAGAGAGAGAGAGAGAAAGAGAGAGCCAGAGAGCACATTGGGGAGGGATACAGGGAGAGAGAGAATCTCAAGCAGACTCCCTGCGGAGCCTGGAGCCTGATGTAGGGCTCAATCTCACAAACCCGCAAGATCACGACCCAAGTGGAAACCAAGAGTCAGATGCTCAACCGACTGAGCCATCCAGGCTCCCCACGCTAAACAATTTTTAATGTCTAAGTAGAACCCATTCTACTCATTGTATAATAAATATATTTATAAAAGGCCTATCAGCACTATTTTTAAGTACATAGTTTCTAAATGGCACTTATGAAACAAATAGGCAATGAGCAACATCATGTGTCATTTGAGGATTATACCTCAGGGTTGTATACCCAAGGCTGACCACTAAGCCTTTCTGACAGTATTCTCTGCCAACTGTTCATCTATCTTAAGTTCATTTTTCCCATGGCTCCTGCTGCTGAGTTGGTCCTTAAGCACTATGAACCACCCCATTATCTGTGCGTAAGCCCAGTTCTCTGCAATCACTCATACCACTAGTACCTAAGTCCACTGAAGCTTTTTTTTTTTTTTTTTTTAATAAACTTTACTCCTACTGTGGAGCTCAAAGTCACAACCCTAAGTTCATGCTCTACTGACTGAACCAGCCAGGCAACCCATTCCCTGAGGTCTTTTAACTCTTCTTTGGCCAAAGGGACTACAATATAAGGGAATAAAATCAATCTCATCAGCCTGTTGTTTACTCTGATATCTTTATCCAACATTGTTGATACCCTTTGCGATTCCTCCACCTAATTGATAAAAAAAAAATAAGTACACTGATTTCTGTTATACCCAAAAATTACAGTATTTATCTTGAGCTCAATGTCTAACCCATAGTAGTGATTAAGAGCAGAAAAGCAAGAGGTTTTACTTCTTTAGATACTGTTGTTTTACTAATAAAATATATTTTAAATACAACCTGTTCAATTAAAGCACACTGTTGGGGGCAGCCCAGGTGGCTCAGTGGTTTAGCACCACCTTTGGCCCAGGGTGTAATCTTGGGGACCCGGGATTGAGGCCCATGTCCGGCTCCCTGCAGGGAGCCTGCTTCTCCCTCTGCCTGTGTCTCTGCCTCTCTCTCTCTCTTTCTGTGTCTCTCATGAATAAATAAACAAAATCTTAAAAAAAAAAAAAAAACCACACACACTGTTGTTCTTTTTTTTTTAAAGCTATTCTTTTTTAAATTTTTTAAAATTTTTTATTTATTTATGATAGTCACAGAGAGAGAGAGAGAGAGAGGCAGAGACACAGGCAGAGGGAGAAGCAGGCTCCATGCACCGGGAGCCCAATGTGGGATTCGATCCTGGGTGTCCAGGATCGCGCCCCGGGCCAAAGGCAGGCGCCAAACCGCTGCGCCACCCAGGGATCCCCCACACTGTTGTTCTTTATCACTAATATCATTAGTCAGTGTTTTTGTAGTCAGGAGATATACACATTGAAATAGTCAGGAGCCGGAAACTCACTGTTGAATGGTTCAAAAATAATAGTATGTACATAGAAACTGAGTAAATAAAGCAACTGTGGTAAATGTTAATAACTGGAGAATCTGGGTGAAGGGTTTATGAAGTTCTCTGCACTATTCTTACAACTTTTCTGTAAGTCTGAAAATATTTTGAAATAAAACCCCCACAAATTTAGTCATACCAGATCATGCGGGGGGGGGGGGTTGGCAGACCTCAACAGCAATTTGTACATGGTTTATTTTTCATTATATCGATTAGGATGCAGTTTCTTAAACAACCTGCATGTAGATGGCTTTAAAACAACACTGCCACTGCGGAGGTTGTTTCATTATTAATCCTACGGTCCTCTACGGAAGGTAATGAACCATGTCACTTGTTGGTTACAATTACTGCTCCGCTTAACTACGGAGAAACGGGGTGGGAGAAGCAGTGATCTAGGAAAGGGATTCTCAATATCCTGGCCGGTGGGGATGGAGAGCTTCACTGGATCATGAATCGGAATCACAAGGCAGTGTCCCACCTGGTAGTAGCTGGCTTTGGCCTCGATCATCAGCTGCTGGGTGGAGATCATCTTCTTCCTGCGCTTACACTCTTCCTTGAGTAGCTTAATCTCCCCAGCCTGCTTGGTGAGGAGCGTCCTGCTCTGCTCACCCTCCTCCAGGCTCAGGCGCAGGCGCTCCTCCAGGTGGTGCAGCTGCGAGGTGAGGAACTCCTGCGAGTGCAGCAGGTACTCGATGGTGAGCTGCGCCAGGCGGATGAGCTTCAGCAGCACCGGGTCCACCCCCGACTGGCAGTGAGGGCACTTCTCGTCCTCCAGCTTGCAGAAGGTGATGTTCATGATGTTCTCCTGCAGCGTCAGCACGTCCACGGCCCCCGCCACCTTGTCCACGTCGATGGCGCTCAGCCGCCGCCAGTCCACGCTCTCCAGCCGAGGCCGGAACTGGAAGCAGGGCAGGGGGCCCGACGCCGCGCGCTGGGGGGCACAGGCCATGGCCGCGGCTGCGGGGCCGGCTGCGGGGCCGTCGGGGCCGCCGGGGCCGCCGGCCAGCGGGTAGTAGACGTGCTTCTGGAAGGGCTGCGGGAAGTGGACAGCGTGGGGATGGGGAGGGGGGCCGCTGGGGCTGGGGCTGGGGCTGGGAGGGGAGCCGCCCCCCGCCCCGCGTCCCCCGGGCAGCGACCGCCCTGCCCTTACCATGCTTGGGAGAAAATCCGCCGCCTCCGCTGGCCTCCGAGGAGGGGGCGGGCCGGGCCGCCGCCGCCCCACCCCTCGGGAGCGGGCGATGGCCGGGTCTCCGGCGGCCAGGCCGTTGCTATGGCAGCGCCGCGGCGGGGGCCCCGAGCCGAGGGCGCGCCTGCCCCAGAGCGGTCAGCGTGCGCCCAGGGCCCTGCGGGGCCAGAGAAGAGCCGTGGGCCAGCGCGTCCTCCCGAGAGGGCACCCCCGGGCCACTCCCCTCCCTGGCTCTGGGGCTGACGCTCCACGATGCCCCTACGGCCTTGGGGAGCCCCAACCCCGGGGCACTTCTGCTCCCAGCTGCCAGCCTCTGGTTATTCACTCCTGTCCCCTTCGGTGTGGAGATCCGAAATGCCTACTGAGCCTCATCCTTTACACGCAACTTAAAAAACGTTAAGCAGCAAAACTATGTAAAATTACACGAGATGTTGGGGAATTGGCTGCAGAAGAACAAGAACAACACTCTTGCAGCATAACAGAAATATTCTGTATTTTGATTGTATATTTTGCTTTTTTTGTTTGTTTGTTTGTTTATTGTGTATTTTGATTGTTGATTACCTGGGTATACACATCGTCAAAAATGTATCGAATTGTACACCGAAAATTAAGGGTGCATTTGTATATTATGCGTCAACAAAATTGGTTAAAATATTAAATTTGTGAAGTAGCTAACTATGTTTGATGGCAGGCTCTCTGAATTTCTTTTTTTTCTCTCTCTCTCTGAATTTCTTACACCCAACACACTTTTTTTTAGATGCTTTCTTCCTCTGAGTTGCCTACCTAAATATAAGATACTGATAGAAGGACAAATCAAGCAACTTCCCTAGATATTAGTACTTCACCTGTCTTTCCAAAAGGATACATTTTCAAAATGTGAACTTAAAAAAAAATTTAAATGGAGGAGAACTTTAATCATCAGCTTTGTACCATTAAGCTTTAGCCGGGCCTGTTATTTACCTTACAAACTTGTGTGGCAGCCGCATTGTTATCTGGAGAGGCTAAAATACCTCTAGCAGCAACTTGCGGATCACAGGCCTTTCATTCTTGGGGGGGTTTTGGGTGCCCGTAGCTACCACAGAGATCAGTGAGCTGAAGAAAAGCCACACATTCCTCAATCCACCGGGGATTCCCTGCTTGGAACAATCCTCAGGAATTTTGTTTTCTTTCCTAACAGCCGTGCATGTGAATAGAAGAAAGGAAAACACAGTTCAGAGTAACTTAAAGCAAAGTCGTAATATCAAATATTTTTAGCACTTTCCAGATACCGTGAACTAGAAATAAACCCATATATAAACATGCAGGAAATGGAGCATGCACTTCATATGACTTCATATAAACGGTACATCCAAATCGCTTGTAATGGGCCTTTGGGGTTTAAAAAAAAAAAAAAAGAAGCATTAACGGTTCACTGCAGCGGGCGTAAAGACTTACAGACCTAGGTATCAAGTTCGATTCTTCCATTTACTCGCTGCTTGACCTCGGACAGGTTATGTCCGCCGCGTGCCCCGGCTTCCCAGCCTGTTTGGAGGACGTGAGGATACCGACCTGGCAGGTCTGCGGACGGTGGGCTCCATCCACTGGGCTGCAGGGTCCGCGGGAACAAGGGCCGGGCTCCTCTTGCTCGCCGGTATGTGTCCTCAGCACCTCGCAAAGGACAGGCAGAGGGAGGGTGGAGAACCTGCCAAGGGGACACGTGGATAAGGAATGATTGAATGAACTGGGCCTAAGTGTCAGCTCCCAGGCCGTATCCCTCCTACTCGCTGCGCCTCCGGCGGGCTCGGGGGCTGCCCCGGAGCTGTGGGCCGAGGCCGGGGGCCGAGCCGGGGCTCCCCGCGCGCCCCCGCGGCGGTCGCGGGAGGCGCCGGCGGGGCTGGCTGGGGTCGCCGCGGCCGCCTGGGCGCACCGGGCCGCGCTGCCGGGCCTCCGTGCCCCGCGCTCGGATCTCGGTCCCAAGATGGCCGGAGCAGCAAAGAAGGGGGCACGTTTTCGCGGCCCCCCCCGCCCCCCACCCCCCACCCCGGCGCTGGGCTGCAGCGCGGCGCCTCGGGCCGCGGGCTCGCTGCGGGGACAAAGGCCGCGCCGCCGGGCTCCGGGCTGCCGGGCTCCGGGGAAGGCTGGGCGCCCGCGGGCGAGGGGAGCGGGGCGCGCGGGCGGCCGCACCCCGGGGGCTGCGGGGCCCGGCGCGTGGGCGGGGGCCGCCGCGGGCTCCCTGGGGCTCCCGGCGCAGCCCCGGCCGCGGCTCACCCCAGCTGCGCGCTCCAGGGCGGGTGCCGGACGCCGCGGGCGGGCGGGGGCGGCGCTGGGGACCAGACCCCAGAAGCGCTGCTGGCTCGAGGCGCGGCCCACGGCGGCGCGGAGCGGCGGGGCGGGGCGGGGCGGGAGGCGGCGGGAGGCGGCGGCGGGCCGGCTCCTTCTTCCAGGGCGCAGAATGCAGCCTGTCTAGCTTGGGCAAGTCGTGGCGCGGCGGGCCTGGCGCCGTTCGGGCCCTCGCAGCCTCCCGGCCGGGGCTCCTCGGCTCCCCCGCCCCCCTCCCGCCCCCTCCCGCCCCCTCCCCTCTGCGGCCTCCCTCCGGCCTCTCCCCTCCGCGTCCCGGCTCCTCCGGCAGCTGGGCGGGACCGAGCGCGTCTAGACCGCCGCGCTAAAGTGCGCTCCGCCAATCCGGCTGTGGGCGCAGACACGTGGTGCCGGGGAGCGCTCGGTTGCTGGCGGGGGATGATCTCCCCGGGAAGGCTTTTCAAAGAGAAACCAGATTCTCTCCAGCCCTGCGGCCGGCCGGGCCTTCAGCTGGCTCATTTACTATATAGGTGCTTCGTGCGAAATCTCCCCCAAGAAGAGGTGCGTTTTAATCGCTGAAGTCTGCAGATGCAAGATGCAAGGAGCCTCCAACAGGCCATCTAACGCAGCTCTTGGGCTTTCCACTCGACTGACGTGGGAAACGGGGAGTAGGCACTCTTCAGGCAAGCCCACGAGGATTAGACCCAACTAAATTTCCGCATCTCTTCCGGTTATGTCCACTTTAGGACGCAAAGCAAGGCTCTCTGTTGGTGGAAAGTTTGGCAGTGGGAGAGGAGATGTCGTAGGACAAGAGTAGTGTGACTGTATTTTTAACCTGAAATTGGAACACTTGGTCTGACAATCGGGCAAAATTCGGCATTTTAAAATAAGGAGTAATCCAGAAAGTATGCATATAGCATTTTTTACAACCGTGAGATCGATCCAGATGGAGGAATTTGAGTGCATCGCAAAATGTTAGTGTCTGCTGTAGCACAAATTGTTCTTCACTCATTAAGGAGTAACTACAGAATCTTTGCTGGAGGGTAACCTGGTACCATAAAAACGCTTTTCCTTGTGCTTCTCCCTGACCAAATCAACTTTGTACCATACTTAGCACAAGGCTTCAAACATGGTAATAATTTAATAAGCAGTCATGTGAATTCTTTTCTTTAGTTTTTTTTTTTAATTTATTTACTTATGATAGTCAGAGAGAGAGAGAGAGAGAGAGAGAGAGGCAGAGACACAGGCAGAGGGAGAAGCAGGCTCCATGCACCGGGAGCCCGATATGGGATTTGATCCCGGGTCTCCAGGATCGCGCCCTGGGCCAAAGGCAGGCGCCAAACCGTTGCGCCACCCAGGGATCCCTTTTCTTTAGTTTTTACTTTGAAATCATTAGGTCTAGGACAGCCTTGGTGAGATTTTAAAATTCGTTGAATTTTAAAATACTTAAATTTGAAAGTGAATCCAAGATTCATAAGAATCCTTTAAAGTAGAATAGGAAGAGATCTCTAGGTAGATTTTTCAGGTATTAAATGAAGTAGAAAAGCCATTGCTTTGCAAAGTCTATACTCTGTAGCCCTTTCTGGTCTGTGTGTGTGTGTGTGTGTGTGTGTGTGTGTGTAGGATAATTGTTTAACATTATTTGATGATATACTATTTGAGTTACTTGTATCATCTATTCCCCACTGTCAGTACATTACCCCATTTATGTAGAGTTGGAAGAAATAAAGTGAACCAGTTGGCTTTGGCATGGCACAGCAGCAATAATGCATTCTTGATTCTTTCAAATCTCTTACACCAATTAGCACAGCCCAGCAGGGAGTGGCCATGATAATTAAATAATTCAATTTTAAGAAACTATTTAGGGGTACCTGGGTAGCTTAGTGGGTTAAGCATCTGCCTTTGGCTCAGGTCATGATCACAGGGTCTGTGATCCAGCCCTGTGTCAGGCTCCCTGCTCAATGGGGAGCCTGGTTCTTCCTCTTCCCTCTGCCCCCCCCCCGCCCACGCCCTGCTTGTGTGCTCTCTTACTCTCTCAAATTAATAAATAAATAAAATATTTTTTTAAAAAATTTAAAAAGAGGGATCCCTGGGTGGTTCAGCGGTTTGGCACCTGCCTTAGGCCCAGTGCGTGATCCTGGAGTCCCAGGATCGAGTCCCGCATCGGGCTCCCTGCATGGACCCTGCTTCTCCCTCAGCCTGAGTCTCTGCCTCTCTCTCTCTCTTCTCTGTGTGTGTGTCTCATGAATAAATAAATAAAATCTTTAAACAAAAAAAATTTTTTTTAAAGAAACTAGGTATCTTTCTCCTCCAGTAGACAATGAGAACTTCAGTTATTCTAGCACATTGAGCACATAGTAAATGCTCAAATAAGTATTTTTTTGAAGATAGAAATGGTCCTAAAAAGGGGAAATAAAATATTGGTGAATATTGATCATTATAGTAAGTAAACAAAAATGTTGTGGCTCAATTTATTTCAGATTTTTGTTTCTATTTCTCTTGTTTGAAATGAGCAAGTGTTAGAAAATGAAAATTGCATTGAGGCAGGCAGGTGGGGGTGGTGATTAACATCAATTTATTATTAAAATTATTAAACATAATCAGGCCTCACAAGAGTAAAACCAAGATTAGGTATCCAAAGCAGGACTATGAAGCAAAATAATTAAAAGGTATTGAATCAGACAATACATGTCATTTATGTCTTATTTTGATCACCTGGCCAATGTCTTTTAGTTATAATTATAATATCATATATATATAGTGTCAAGAGTCTATAAAATGTATACGTACAAATTGAAGATTAATAGAATGAACACATGTGTATCCATAACCCCGGTTAAGAAATTAAACATTCCGGGGATCCCTGGGTGGCTCAGCGGTTTAGCGCCTGCCTTTGGCCCAGGGTGTAATCCTGGAGTCCTGGGATCGAGTCCCACATCTGGCTCCCTGCATGGAGCCTGCTTCTCCCGATGTCTGTGACTCTGCCTCTCTCTCTCTCTGTGTCTCTCATGAATAAATAAATAACATCTTTAAAAAAAGGAAATTAAACATTCTGAGCATTTTCAAAGGCCCTCTCTATGCACCCCACCATCACATCCCTCTCCATCTTCCTATTTAACAATTTCCCTAACTCTGGGATTAAGTCATTACTTTCCCCTTATAGTTTACACATTATACATATATACACACTATATATAGTACATTATAAATATATGTACATACATACACACTATATATATATACATATATTAACCATATATCATGAACTGTATATAATACATAATATTATTTACTTTTGGAAAATTGAGTAGCAAGCCTAAACTATGTGGAGGTGAGTCAGATGAGTATCTGGGTCCATACTACCTTTACACATAGGCAAGAGAACTTTCACCCAAGTCTGGCTGTTTACAGAAGTCCCAGGAGCTAAACTCAGAATCTGTGTTTTCTCATTCAAGACCATGTTCCAGCTACATGGAAGCCTAGAATTTCCTACATAAACAGCCATGCCAACTTCCAGAGCCTATATGGGCTGCTTCCCCACATCTATCTTCTCAAAGGACTGTGCTGCTTATGACTAGGCATATGGGATGGCCTAACCATTTTAGAACTTCTAATAGAGTTATTTAGAAGTACTAAATAGTGTAGACATATGGGTTGGAAGGTACACACCTATGCACACAAGTCCCCTCACTAAAACAAACAAACAAACAAACAAACAAACAAAAACAATTCCCCTCACTAGCTGGGATGATGCTGGGTGGGAAGAGTTGCTGCCCTTGGACCCTCACTGAGAATACAAGAATTCTGAATTCAAACCTGGTTTTGCAGCCTTAGCTTCTTTTGAATAACTTAAAATATGATGCTGGCAGGCAGTTATAAATATATATATTGCAAACTCTAGGGCAACCATTAAAAAAGTTTAAAAGTATTACTAACATGCTAAGAGATAAGATAAACAGAATGGTATAAAATGCTCAACTCAGGGGCACCTGACTGGCTGTCTTGGTAGAGCATGTGACTCTTGATCTTGGGGTTGTGAGTTCTAGCCCCATGTTGGGTGTAGAGATTACTCAAAAAGTAAAATCTTAGGGGCGCCTGGATCAGTCAGTGAAGCACCAACTTCACTTCAGTCAACATTCAACTCTTAGTTCCAGCTCAGGTCATGATCTTAGGGTTGTGGGATGGAGCCCCATGTCTGGCTCCATACCCAGCACAGAGTCTGCTTGAGATTCTTTCCGCCTCCCATTACCTCCCCCTCTGCTCCTCCCCTATTCCCACTCTCTCAAAGAATACGTACAATGAATAGAAAACAGTTATAAACATGTAAGATAGTAACCCAATTATATCAATAATCATTTTAAATGTGAGTGGCATAAATAAACCACTTAAAAGACAGATTGGGGCACCTGGGTGGCTCAGTTGGTTAAATGTCTGCCTTTAGCTCAGGTCATGATCTCAGGGTCCTGGAATGGAGCCCCATGTCCAGTCTCTGCTCAGCAGCTTCTCCCTCTGCCCCTCTCTCTCCTCATGCTCTCTCTCTCTTTCTCAAATGAATAAAATCTTAAAATAAATAAATAAATAAATAAATAAATAAATAAATAAATAAATAAATAAATAACAGATAGAGATTGTTTTTAATCAGGCAGAACTTGGATTCAAAAAATTCAAAAAACAAAAAACAAGCCCCAGCTTGTTATCTTCAGTTCAGACATAAAGACTTAGATAGGTTAAAAGTAAAGGGATAGAAAAAAGATACACCATGCTAATACCAATCAAAAGAAATGAAGAGGGATCCCTGGGTGGCACAGCGGTTTGGCGCCTGCCTTTGGCCCAGGGCGCGATCCTGGAGACCCGGGATCGAATCCCACATCCGGCTCCCGGTGCATGGAGCCTGCTTCTCCCTCTGCCTATGTCTCTGCCTCTCTCTCTCTCTCTCTCTCTGTGTGTGTGACTATCATAAATAAAAAAAAAAAAAAGAAATGAAGAGCAGCTATATTAGTTTCAGACAAACCAGACTTCAGAACAAGGAAGATGATCAGAGATTGAGGGGTACTGCATAATGATGAAGGGATTAATGTTCCAAGAAGACATAACAATCCTTGGCATGTATGTACAGTTGACTTTTGAACAATGCAGAGATTAGGGGTGTCAACCCACACACACACAGTTGAAAATCCATGTATAACTTTTAACTCCCCCAAAACTTAACTACTGATCAGCCACTGTTGACTGAACGCGATACCGATAACATCGTCAATTAACACGTTTCGCATGTAATATGTATTATGCACTGTATTTTTTAAAGATTTTATTTATTTATTCATGAGAGAAAGAGAGAGAGAGAGAGAGAGAGAGAGAGAAAGGCTGAGACACAGGCAGAGGGAGGAGCAGGCTCCTTGCAGGGAGCCTTACATGGGACTTGACCTCAGGTCTCCAGGATCACACCCTGGACTGAAGGTGGCGCTAAACCGCTGAGCCACGGGGGCTGCCCTATACACTGTATTCTTGCAATAAAGTAAGCTAGAGAAAAGAAAATATTAAGAAAATCATAAGGGGGCACATGGGTGCCTCAGTGGTTGAGCATCTGCCTTTGGCTCAGGTCTAAAAAAAAAAAAAGAATATCATAAGGAAAAGAAAACACATTTATAGCACTGCCCTGTACTTATTGAAAAAAAATGTATCAATGGACAACGCACAGTTCAAATCTGTGTTGTTCAACGGTTAACTCTACTCTATCCAAAAACAGGAGGGTACATGTTCTTCTCAAACTCACATAGAATATTCAGGGAGATAGACTACATTCTGGATCATCATACACACCTTAATAAATGTAAAAGAATAGAAATCATACAAAATGCATTCTCAGAGAATAACAGAATTAAACTAGAAATCAGGGGATCCCTGGGTGGCGCAGCGGTTTAGCGCCTACCTTTGGCCCAGGGCGCGATCCTGGAGACCCGGGATCGAATCCCACGTCAGGCTCCCGGTGCATGGAGCCTGCTTCTCCCTCTGCCTGTGTCTCTGCCTCTCTCTCTCTGTGTGTGTGTGTGACTATCATAAATAAATAAAAATTAAAAAAAAAAACTAGAAATCAATAGCAGAAAAGATAGCTGGAGAATTTCAAAACATTTGGAGATTAAACAACACAGTTATTTTCTAAAGATTTTATTTATTTATTCATTAGAGACACACAGAGAGAGGCAGAGACATAGGCAGAGGGAGAAGCAGGTTTCTTCTGGGGAGCCTGATGAGGGACTCGATCTTCAGACCTAGGATCATGCCCTGAGCTGAAGGCAGACGCTCAACCACTGAGACATCCAGGTGCCCCTAAATGACATATTTCTATATAGTACACCACTCAAAGAAGAAATCTCAGGAGAAAAATTTAATTTGGAGCTAAATAAAAAACCGAACTTATCAACATTTGTGAGATGCAGTGAAAGTAAAGATTAGAGGGAAATTTGCTGGTAAGACACGAGTCACTTTGATTCACACTCAAGGGGAGAGCACCTAGATTTGCCTTTTGAAGCATGGAAACATCAAAGATTCTGAGCCCATCTTTTGAAACCACCATAGCCACCCAAACCTTCTTTTGGTGGTTCCCTATGGCCTAAGCAGTGAAATGGCTTGATGGCAATTTCAACTTACAATTAAATTAAACCACTAATGTATTGCCTTGAACTCACTCAGATCTGGAAGATAGGTTAAAAACAAAAACAAAAACAAAAACCTGGGGATGCCTGGGTGGCTCTGTGGTTGAGGCCTGCCTTTGGCCCAGGGTGTGATCCTGGAGTCCCGGGATCGAATCCCACATCAGCCTCCCTGCAATGAGTCTGCTTCCCTCTCTGCCTATGTCTCTGCCTCTCTCTCTCTTTCTTTCTCTGTGTCTCTTATGAATAAATAAATAAAATATTAAAAAAAAAACTAAACCTGTCAAGGAAGGTGTCTCAGTCCTGGCATTTGTGGTGAAATGAAAGGGATCATACAAATCAAATAAGGACTTACGGTTTCGTGACCTGGTGTTAGCAGCTTTTATGTGGGCACACGCATCTCGAGCTCCTCCCGTGCCCCTGAGATCTGGGAGTCCATCCTAGTGACAGCTCTTGCACCCAGAATTCCATGTCTAGAGAAGGCTTTTTGTACAGAGCTGTCACTTCTCACAGGAGATGGGTACAGAATTAGCTCACTATGCCTTCATGCCTCCTTCCTTGGATGTATCTTCCTGCTCTGTAGAGGCTGGAAAGCTAAAAATAGTGCTTTCCAGACTCCTTTCCAGCTCATATTCTGGAAGCAAATTGGTTTCTATCAATTAGATGCACTCTTGAATGACATGAAAGAGAGATGTGAGACAGAAGCTCTTCTGCTACTGTTTTTGCTGGCAAGCAAGGCCACGTGAATCAGAGCATCAGTAGGTAAAGGCAGCCACTGACCTAAGCATGTCTTTTTTTTTTTTTAGATTTTGTTTATTCATGAGAGACACAGAGAAAGACAGACAGAGACAGAGACACAGACAGAGGGAGAAGCAGGCTCCTCACAGGGAGCCAGATGCGGGACTCCATCCCTGGATCTAGGATCATGCCCGGAGCAAAAGGCTCAACTACTGAGCCACCCAGGCGTCCCGACCTAAGCGTGCTAATCACAACTTTCTTTCTTTTTTTTTTATTATTTAAGACCTTTATTAACAGGTGCTTGCCGTTTGTTGACTTTTTTGAAAAAATCAAGTTGTAAACTTTTATTACAAATTAAAAATGAGGGGATCCCTGGGTGGCCCAGCGGTTTGGCGCCTGCTTTTGGCCCAGGGCGCGATCCTGGAGACCCGGGATCGAATCCCACGTCAGGATCCCAGTGCATGGAGCCTGCTTCTCCCTCTGCCTGTGTCTCTGCCTCTCTCTCTCTCTCTCTCTCTCTCTCTGTGACTATCGTAAATAATAAATAAATAAATAAATAAATAAACACAAAATCTAAAAAAAAAAAAAAACCAAATTAAAAATGAGGTTCTTAAAAATCTCAACTTGACCAGATATGAAACAATTTAAAAACCTTTAAAGGTGTATTGAGAAAAACCAGGCTTTTTTTTTTTTTAAAAAAAAAACACGTTTATCATTACCAAAAAGAGACGTCTTTAGGTAAAAATAATAAAAACCCCATGCTGCATAGATAATGCAGATAGTTCTATTTATCTGGTCAATGGGCAAAAAGCAAGCACTTAAGGTCTTCAGCTCCAATCTTTTGTTCATTTCTTATTGCTGGAATTTCATCTTCATTTCTTCATGTTGGATGACTAAACCGGATGATGGTAGAGATGGTAAGCCGGCATTTACTCAGCCCCGCCCTGCTCAGCCTCGGGAGCGGACGAATTCTCAGCTGGTGGATCGGCTGCTTTTGTCTCTTTGCCATCTTGTGGTTTAGGGTTTTCTGGGCGTCTGCGTCGGTAATTGAAGTTGCGGCGGTACCGACGTTGAGGTGGCTGCTGACCTTGGGTCTCATCTCCTTGATTTTCCTTATCTTCCTCATTTCCATCCTCTCTAGGCTGTCTTTGACGAGGAGGACCCCTACGGAATCGTGGTCTATAACCTCGATACATATTCTGTCTCACTGGTCTACCTTGTTCTCCTGCACCCTGGTTGTCAGCACCTTCCATCACTTCTCCCTGCACAGGAGGGTTGGAATATTGTGGTCGACGCCCGTAGGGTCTCCGCATGTAGTAAGGTGGGAACCGTCGCCTGCGGTAGGGCCGGCGCTGTTGGGCCTGGCCTTCGGGAGCACTTTCCGATCCCTCGTTCTTTTCCCCACTCTCACTATTCTGGTAATTCTGCTGGTAATTGCGTGGAGGACCCCTGCGACGTGGATAGCGTCTATAATGGTTACGGTCTGCTGCATATTTACTGCCTTGCACTGGAACTCCACCAGGGCCTGTAACATTTGCTGCCTCCGCACCCTTTTCTCCTTCAACAACATCAAACTCCACAGTCTCTCCATCTCCTACACTGCGAAGGTACTTCCTGGGGTTATTCTTCTTTATGGCAGTCTGGTGTACAAATACATCTTCCTTGGTGTCATTCCTGTTGATGAAACCATATCCGTTTCTTTCTTTCTTTTTTATTTATTTATTTATTTATTTATTTATTTATTTATTTATTTATTTATTTATTTTATTTATGATAGTCACAGAGAGAGAGAGAGAGAGAGACAGAGAGACAGAGAGGCAGAGACACAGGCAGGCTCCATGCACCGGGAGCCCGACGTGGGATTCGATCCCGGGTCTCCAGGACCGCGCCCTGGGCTGAAGGTGGCGCTAAACCACTGAGCCACTTGGGCTGCCCAAGCCCATAGTTTGTATTAAGGATTCACACTTAGTCTTGTATAGATCTATGAATCTTGGCAAATGGATAATATCGTATATCCAACATTACAGTCTTATACCGAAAAATTTCACTGTCCTAAAAGTTCCTTATGTTCCATGTATTCATTCCATCCAAGCCCTGGTAACCACTGATTTTTTTTTTCTAACTCTTATTTATGATGGTCACAGAGAGACAGAGAGGCAGAGACACAGGCAGGCTCCATGCACCGGGAGCCCGACGTGGGATTCGATCCCAGGTCTCCAGGATCGCGCCCTGGGCCAAAGGCAGGCGCCAAACCGCTGCACCACCCAGGGATCCCCATATCCGTTTCTTACATTGAACCATTTTACTGTTCCCAAAACCTTCCTTGCGATGACCTTCTTGTCCCCGCCGGCAGGCGCCGCCGCCGAAGTGAGGCCGCCGGGGCCGCCGCTCCCTGCGCAGCTGCCGGTGGTGCGGGGCTTGGTGTCGGCCGCGCTGAGGGCGTGGGGCGGGGGGCGGCTGCTGGGTCTCGGCCTCGCTGCTCACGGCTGCGGGATGGTGACTGGGGCGGGCTGCGGCAGCTGCGGCTCCTCCCGGGGTGTGATGGTAACTAGGCCGGCGGCGGCGGTGGGGCTGCTCAGGGCTCTCCCTAATCACAACTTTCAACAATGTCAAGTGGCTGTTGAGACAATGGTGGCTTTTTTTCTTATCAGAGTATCAAACTCCAGAACTTCTTGGCTCTGAGGCTGCCCTTCTGCTCACGCTCCTCCATCTCTTTCAGTGATTTTGCAAGCGTCTAGTTGAGTGTAATTATCTTACTGCTCACACTGTCTAGAGTGGCTTCACCTTCCTACCATAAAGCCGTATTGACACCCCTTAACGACATATACTTTTCGTTACTAAAATGAGAGTTTATATCAAAGATGTGGTGAGGAGGCACCTGGACTAGGTGAGCATAATCTATCCAATCCTTTGTTGTCGTTGTTGTTATCAACATTGTTTTTATTAATGTATCCAGTCCTTTATACTCTCTTCCTCAAGTGTCTGAATTCCTTCCTTTATACTTGTTAAAGAGCTTCTGACCTTGGGGATATAATTTGTTGTGGGACAAAGTTCACTACACTTTTACATTGAACAGTCTTTTCCTGACTTGTTATCCTCTGAATACATGATCTCTGGGAGGTGCCCGTATCTATACTTTCTGCTGGATAGAATAGTAGGGACTATGTTCCTGACCTAGCAACCTCAAAGTCTATTCCCATTTTCTCCCAATTTGGGGGGATATCAGATAATGAGTTTCTACAACTTCTAGGCGTCTAACTCTGATGTACCAATATTCGCCGTTGCCTCCTTGTCCCCTTACCAAGGCCATGAGAAATGTAGCTGGTTGCCATAGCAGCAGTGTGACTTGGCTTCGGGGGGAGATTATTAGTTCTCACATGCAAAGGTGGCAAAGTGTCCTCAGGCAACGAAAACAGGGTGAGAAGTTATTTCAGGACGGTTTGAGGTCTTCAGTTCCTATACACCAGTTCCTCTCAAACTTTCATCGGCGTCCCCTGGAGGACATGCCAAACCCCAGAGAGCTGTATCCTCCCCTAGAGTTTCTGATTTAGTGGGTCTGGGTGAGGGCTAGAAAATTTGCATCTCTAACAAGTTCCCAGGGGATGCCAATGCCACTGGTCTGAGGACCATACATCTTTGAGATGCACTGCTCCGAGATTTGATCTCGTTCTCTAGTTTTAAGTTGTGTTTTGGGTGAAAAACAACCATTGTGCAGCAACTATGAGGCTCCCAGAGCCCCAACCTTAGTGAAAGAACAGTGCCAGTGAATATTAATGGGAGCCTCAGATTCTCCTGCCTCATATTAGCCAAATAACTCATTCCAAACACCCCACATTTCCCCAAGGGTGCCCATTTTCTGGTACAAATGTCTGTATTAATTACATTTCCATTCTTTGTCAATAACAGAAACTGATTCTGTTAGCCTGTTAACGTAAATGGTGGGGTGACAGGTAGGATCATGGATAGCTCACATTATCAAAGGAGAAATCAATCAGGCTTCATGAGAGAAAGTAACCAGGTGAGTGCCAGAATTTCTCTGTAACTCAGGTCAATCTTTCTGCCACAGAACAATTCATCCTCATCTTTCTCCAGCCCTATAGAATTCTACTCCAGATTCCAATTCCTGTGAGAGGGAATGGACTGGACCTAGCATGGGTCATGTATATGATCTGCCCTATGGTGGTGGTAGCAAAAGGGGCTGTGATAGAGATATAGTCAGTAGTTCAGTACCCAACACAACTGCATGGGAAAGGGAGGGAGACTCCCCAAAAAGAAGATATTCCAGGCAGAAGAGTAACATGTCTAATACAAATAGATGTCTAAAGTGAAAAGCACCAATTACCCTCTTTACCAACTAGTTCTATGACCATGCTTTTAGGAAAACTTTTTAAATTAATTATTATTTTTTTAGGATGTTTACTTCAAAAGGTTCTTTCTCCCTAAACTGAAGAGTCAAGGTTTGAAGATGCAGATACTTCAGAACAAAGGATAGCACCTTTATATCCCTTTGAATAATTTGGATTGTTGTCTCTCAGGGAGATATGTCCTCTTCACTTATAGGCTCTCCATTTAGATTCTGGGATCTTAGCTTTTTTCAACCAATACTAGGATCCTAGCCAGCTCAAGACAGGACAGTCACTGTTGCTTAGAAAAGGATAGAAGGGGTGCATGGGTGGCTCAGTAGGTTGAATAGATCTGACTCATGGTTTTGGATCTGATCATGATCTCAGGGTCTTGAGATTGACCCCACACTGAGCCCCATGTTGGGCTCCAGGCCTGCACTTGGCTTGGAGTCTACTTGAGATTCTTTCCCTCTCCCTCTCCCTCTGCTCCTCCTAGTGCTCACATTCTCTAAATAAATAAATAATAAATATATTTATATATTCTAAAATGATAAATAAATTTTAAAAATAAGTAAATACATTTTTTTAAGAAAAGGATAGAAACCCAAACAAATTCATAGGAAATTTCCCATTCTTTTAGGGATATATGCTGTTGCTTGGAGTTTCCTTCTTTCTTGTTCTCTTGCCTCCTACCTTACCTTCACCTGCAATAGTAAGGGGATGTAGGGTTCAGGAGCTGGTTCTGTTCCTTGGCCCTGTTCCTTGTGAAAGCTAGTCCTTCTCTCTCTCAAGCACACATCAAGTCTTTATTCCAAAGGGCAAGATGGCTTTTGGGAATGAATACACAGTCTAGAAGTACCAGAGTGGCTGGAACCAGAAATTGTATCAGTTGGCTTTCACCAGATTATGCTGAAGTATCAAACAATATTCATAGTTATGATAGACAAGTCTATTGTTTATGTTTTATGTCAGTTGTATGTTTGCTGTGGCTCCTTTTTTAAAAAAATATTTTTATTTATTTATTCATGAGAGACACACAGAGAGAGGCAGAGACATAGGCAGAGGGAGAAGCAGGTTCCCTGAAAGGAGCCTGATGCAGGATCTGGAAAGGCAGAGACAGAAGCAGGTTCCGTGTGGAGAGACCAATGTAGGACTCAATCCCAGGACCCCGGGATCACGACCTGAGCCAAAGGCACACACTCAATCACCGAGCCACCCAGGTACCCCTTGGTATGGCTTTGATTCACGTGGTCTCTTTACAGGACCCAGAAAAAAGAAGCAGCCCCTTTCTGGGACATGCTTTTCTTTTGGCAAAATAGCCAAGTCACACTGGCTCTTGAAATCTTTCAGAGAGAATGATAAACCAAAAGAGGTAAATTGGCCACTCTGGATGAAGAGTATACAAGAATATTTTGTATTATATTTGTAACTCCTTACACTAGGATATAGGTTTCCCCCAATATCTGAAAATAGGACATTCCTATAAAAATCTTTTGTAAGCCAAAATGATGTAGAGCAAAGAAACAAGTACATTTATTTACATGAGAAATGTTTTCAGCACTCCCAGATCCCCAAATTTACCTCTCTTAGGCCTTTCTTGTACCTCAGGACACATCTTACTAATGGATGCACAAAATAAATCGAGATAAAGCACAGATGCAAGATACATTTCAAATCTCTGGTGACTTGTGGCTGCAATGCTGGGTGTAGTTCTGGGGAAGGGACATGGTGGTGCCACTCTTACAGCTCACAGTGCGTGTTGTCTTTATGAGGGCTCACTGCAAAACAAATGCTGAATGCTATTTTCGCTTTTTTACTCAAAAAAGAGAAAATCCTCATCAGATTTCTTTTGGTTAGAGTAAACAGGGACTAATGTTGGTCTCTCATAAAAGTGAAGTGGCATGTCATGAACTATTGAAAGAGGGGGGTACCTATATACATATGTTTTGTTTAAAGATGTTGCATGGAAGTGTTGGATCTCTATATTGTACATCTGAAACTAATAGTATCCTGTATGTTAACTAACTGGAATTTAAAGAAAAACTTAAACAAAGAATATAGGAAGTGCAGAAGGAGGCAGTGTGCGTCTATATACTCACTCCAGGAAGTTATCAGTGATCAGTTATCAGTTATCACTTCTCCTCACTCCCTGCAACTTTATATGTGTCCTGCCTCCTTGTGGCTGAAGATGGATGCTGCAGCCCCACTATCACCCTCAATCCAGGTCACTGCATGGAGGAAGGGGAGAGTATCTTTGTAACATTTAAGTGTAAAATTACGTCAAAATAAAAAAGTGTTAAAAACAAGTGATTTGTGTAAACACATTTCTTTTTAGAATGAAGCACTGAGGGCATCCCTGGGTGGCTCGGTGGTTTGGTGCCTGCCTTTGGCCCAGGATGTGGTTCTGGAGACCCAGAATCAAGTCCCGCATCAGGCTCCCTGCATGGAGCCTGCTTCTCCCTCTGCCGGTGTCTCTGCCTCTCTCTCTCTCTCTGTGTGTCTCTCATGAATGAATAAAATAAAATCTTTTAAAAAAATAGAATGAAGTGTTGATAATTATTTTAGCTAGGTATTATAATGGGGGTCCTGACAGTAGTGAATCCAACCATTTAGGATTTCTAGAAGTTTGAAGGACTAGAGATTTAGGATTGTGACAAAGGGGATCATCGAAGGGGAGGGAAGATCTAATAAGAAGTGAAGCTTCACGAGATTATTTTTCTTGGAGGCAAATATATGAGTCCAGAAAAAAATTTCTTCAAGAATGACCCATAGGTAGGGACAATGCTCTGGTGTTCTTGCACATCAAAAATGACTGATCTGTGGCCTTTATTCTTTTTTTTTTAATTTTTTTTAATTTTTATTTATTTATGATAGTCACAGAGAGATAGAGAGAGGCAGAGACAGAGGCAGAGGGAGAAGCAGGCTCCATGCACCGGGAGCCCGACGTGGGATTCGATCCAGGGTCTCCAGGATCGCGCCCTGGGCCAAAGGCAAGCGCCAAACCACTGCGCCACCCAGGGATCCCTGTGGCCTTTATTCTTAAAGAAATATTGCTCAATTGCCTTATAGCATTGAATGCTTAGCAATGATGACCCAGCCCAATTTCCTCGTATAAATGATTTGAATTTTCTTTTTGGCTGTCAGTAGTATTTTCTTTTGCTTAGAATTTGGCACTTTTACTTGGATACGTCTCAAGAGTGACAGTTCTGACTGAGGCTATTTTTCCTGACACAAAGTGTCTTCTTGTAAGGTACAGATTCATGACAGTGCCTAGGTGGCTCTGCCCCCCATGTTAAGCACCTGCCTTCAGCTCAGGTCATGATCCTAGGGTCATGATCCTGGGGTCCTGGGATTGAGCCCTGACTTGGCCTCCCTGCTCAGTAGGGAGTCAGCTTCTCCCTCTGCCTCCTCACTCAAATAAAATAAATAAATAAACAAACAAACAAATAAAAGCTTAAAAAAGGTACAGATTCAAGCCCTCTTTTAATCTTAGAGAATTATCGTATGTATTGATGTATCGATTGATACATATGTTTTCTTTCTGTATTTCCATTTCTCTGTTGGGAACTCAGAACTGTGTGTATAATTGGATATTGCTTGCCTGTCCTTCACATCCATTTTTTTCTGCCAATCTTTATTTTAATAAACATTTTTATTGAGTTATAATATACCTATGAAAACTGCACAAATCATAAAGGCATGCTCATTGAATTATCACAAAACAAACACACCCATGTAGCCACAACTCACATTCCAATTTTTTTTAAGATTTTAAAAATTTATTTATTAATTAGAAACACAGAGAGAAAGAGAGCACAGCAGACACAGGCAGAGGGAGAAGCAGGCTCCACGCAGGGAGCCTGACGTGGGACTCCATCCCAGGTCTCCAGGATCACACTCCAGGCTGAAGGCGGCGCTAAACCGCTGAGCCACCAGGGCTGCCCTCACATTCCAATTTTCAAAAACATTTTGTTAATTTCATTTTGCTTTCTTTTCTGATTCCTATACCTTATTTGTCTTTCTAGGTTTTCAGCATGATTCTCCTTTCCAGTTTGCCCTTCATTGCTTTAACGGTTTTTTTTTCTTCCACATTTTTCCTGAGTTCTGTCAGCTTTCAACTCTCATTTTTATTTCCCCATTTCCTTCCTAGGCTCTTTTTTTTTTTTTTAAAGATTTTATTTATTGGGATCCCTGGGTGGCGCAGCGGTTTGGCGCCTGCCTTTGGCCCAGGGCACGATCCTGGAGACCCGGGATCGAATCCCACGTCGGGCTCCCGGTGCATGGAGCCTGCTTCTCCCTCTGCCTGTGTCTCTGCCTCTCTCTCTCTCTCTGTCTCTCTCTCTGTCTCTCTCTCTGTCTCTCTCT